CAATGAACAACAGGGAGTAGGATTAGCAAAAGTGTAGGATTACACTTCCCATCTCAACATTATACTAGCATTCAATCTCACCTCACGCCTCTGGAAGCAGCGGTTGAGGTCGTTCATGTCGGCCAGAATGTCGGCCAGGAAAAACAAACAGAACTGGAACTTGTAGCACGTCACAATCTCGTATGCCTTGTGGTTGTGCTCCCAGAGCAGCACGATGCAAGCGCCGAGGACCTTGCACAGCCTGCGCACCGCATCACCTCGTGACAGCCATCGAACCGTGTGGATTCCTTGGACCTCGAGGTTTATCTGGTAGATCACTCGCTGAAGGTACTTGAAGCGCTGACTCCACACGCTTGAGTTTCCGAGAAGCGTCGCCACTGTGCGCACCACCTTGTCGACCATGCCAAGGTCCTCGTTTGACTCAGCGGCGTCCTTCACAGCCAACGCCTCACTGTAGGATGCAGGGAATACAAATCAAGAGGTAATTGGCTAATCTTATACGTAGAAAACCACACCAACTAGGAAACTTGATACACACCGGTGGGCGATGCAGTGGCATGAAAACAGGTGCGGAACGTGTTCCCGAAGACGCGCCACCAATCCGTTTTCTTTCCCGGTCATGACCGACGCCCCATTCGTGCTGATGCCGACGATCTTGGACACATCGACGGCTGCGGAGCGGAGATGGTTCAGAAGCACCTCAAACAGAGACCCTGCATCACACCGCTCAACCGTCAGCAATGTAAAGAACTCGCATGCGATTTGGCGATTCTTCAAAAACGTAAGGTACACAATCATGTGTTTCCCTCGCGTTCGGTCTGTGCTCTCGTCGCACTGAATGCCCAGGAAGGGGGATGCCAGGATGTGGTCCATCTGGACCCGAGTGAGGTATGTACTGATGCTGTGAACCATTTGTTGGAACCCGTATCTGCACAGAGGAGAATAAAATGGTCAGGATCGTAATAAAAAAACCACACGTCACATATGTCCAGCTGCAATCTAACGGTAAGATTAAATACCGTGTGAGATACACGCCGTAAGATTGTCGAGGAATGTCTGGCGTGTCCTGCTCCGCAAGATGCCGCATCAGCTTCGGAAACATGCTAATCGGCGCGTCGCACTGGCACAGGAACTGCGTAGACCGCATGAGACGAATCGCGCGCCGCCCCTCGACGTCGGAGTTGATGAAGTCAAAAATCGCCTGCTGGCCCTCGCGGATGCCCGCCGCAAGCTTCAACTGCCGATCCACCGCCGCCTTGTGTGCGTCCGTATGCTCGTGCGCCCTGAACGACTGCGTCTGCAAGTCACGGCCACCGTCGTCACCTTGCATGGCGTACCTCGTGTTCCCCTTCGCGTACGACATGCAGATGGAGCACTTCACGTATGGAAAACCGTCCTTGGTCTTCCCAAACACCAGCCAGGAAAAGTGTTGCGACCACTTCGTCTCGTAGTTAATACTCGCCTCAAGGTACACCTGCCCTCGCAGCTGCATCTTGGTGAGTGCGGGCGAGCCGGTATCCGCGCGCACAGGGATGTCAACTTCCTCCGGTTGCTCAGCTTCTTTCGGTGGAGGATCTGCCGGCTTGTCATTGTCAGGCGGTGGAATACGGCGGCCTCCGACGACCAGAGTACTCTGCGCCCACTTCCCATTTCGCGCTCGCTTGGGAGTGGAAGAAGCCGACGGCGGGCCAACAGACACACGCACCGTGCTTGGAGTGGGGCTAGGCGATGGCGGTGGGGGATCTTTGCTGCAAGAAGCAACAGCCGGGGGTAGAGTGAAGGCGATAGGATGTGGAGAATCAGAAGGAGTAGGGGTTACTCTAGCAGCAGAGTCATGAACCGTAGACCTAGGAGGTTCTGGTGTCACCGGAGCACCGGTAGCTCTAAGAAAATCGAGCCCAGACCGGGGATCATCTGATGCTTTCTCCGGCAAGGCTTGCGCTGTCGGTTTCGCCGGTAAAGGTGGCTCGTCAGGGCCAGTCTGAGGAGCATCTTCGTCGGCCGGCAGGGCCTCCATGGCGGCGAGCTAGGGGAAAGATGGAGCGAGAGGAAAGTGTGATACTGAACGAAAAGCAGGAAGCGAAGGAAGCCTGGCTCTGGGTAGGGGGAAGGAAAGGAAGATTGGAGATGGCGGGGTCATCACGAAACCACCGCGGCGCGATGCCACAAGGTTGATGGCAACATTCGTCAATGAATTCGGCCGTAGATGCAAGGCCGAATTCATTCAAGGACTGCTTAGCTGCCAGCGCATACTGTCAACATGCCGTTCTGGCGAATGGCAGAGACATGCTGTGCACTGCGAGGTGCGCGTGGCAGCAACGTATCATAGATTTGGGTGCGTTGTCACTGTTGACAGCTGTCTTTACAGCACGGTGTTGGAATTCGGTGTCGTTATTACGTCAGTCCAGCGCGTGAACGGGGTACCTCACATGGGGCCACGCGAAGTAATGATTACGCACAGGGGGGGGGTTATCGAAAGGAAACTTCGAGGAACCTTCGTCCCGATACCCTCGCATTCAGGGTCCACCGAACGCATACTCTGCATAGACATAGTCCGCAAGTACACTACTCTGAGTCTAGTTATAAGATTTCAGGGTTCGTTAAGTAACTTGTCTGATTGGATCAGAGTTCACAAGTTAAAAAAACTGAAATTGCAGGGCCCAGCAGTTGAGAAGCCTGTAATCACCCTGAAATCATGGTAATTACCCTGATAAAATCAGCCCTGCTTGTACCCAACTCTTTCATACGGTAGTTCATTCATTCTCGTTCTAGATTATGTCAGAGGGCGCTGACGCGCGGAGGAGGAGGGCGCTAAGGCGCGGAGAGGGCGCGGAGGGCGCAGATGCTAAGGCGCGGAGGGCGCGGAGGGCGCGGAGGGCGAGTGCTAGGAAGTAACGAGGAACTAACCTACTCGTGATACCATCTCTAAGTAGGAATGCAACGGAATGATGAGATTAGGAATGTGGGTGATACAAATAGTAAACCCTAACTGAATTGTACTCATTAAGGAGCACCTCACTACATCCTATCACAAATATCAACATTTGACATAATCAGCCTTTTTTCGCCGACTTCTGAGGCCCTGACTCTGACTGTGCTGTGATGACTGCTCTTGGCTGAACTGGATCAGCTGTTCCTTTCGACATGAGGTCTGCTGCTGAATGCTGACATCTGATCTGGTGTTGAGCTCACACCGTGAGGTTGAGCGCATGCACGTCTTATTACTCAACATGGACTGCTGCCCAGTTGCTTGCATCCCATCCCTTGCCATGCTTAACCTGCAAAATCGAAGCCAGATTCTTACAAACCAACCAGCAGCTGGATGCAAGATACCTGCTTAGGTTCTTACATGACTGAATCTGAGACTTCTTCTGACTGCATGAGGGTACCAGTAATGGAAAACTTGTTGATGGTCCATATAGTGTAGGGTGTCTTAAAATGCTCCCAGGCGACGCTACCGTATCCAAACTCCTTTTCAGCAAGACAATTATCATCTGTGGAAAAGCTTTCATGAGAGACAATGAATCAGGAAATTATTAAGCAACTGGCAAGCCCAGTCTCCAGCAGCGGCTTTGGATCTGGCATTTGCCTACAATTCGTCTCGTCTAGCAGAGCAAGGTCCAGCGCTTCACATACCTACCAGGAATCCTCGGGTCCACGGGTCTGGAGTAAACTTCGGACAGACGCATTACCGCTTGTTCTTGTCCCGTCTCCGTCGCTTCTTCTCCTTGTGTTTGTTCATCTTCTTCCGCCGTTTCCGCTTCACGCTGCTGGCCAGTAGCGGCACCGCGCTCCCGTACCCCGGGCCCTCGTGTAGACCATCTCTTCCATGAGCAGCAGAAGGAACGGAAAGTGCTGGAATACTAAGCGAAGCAGCTGTGGATTCTGGTACCGGAAAACCTAGCGGAACGGGTCTTGCAGCAAAACCAGATAAAGAATCCAACCACCAGTTCGGTGAGATTCGAACAGGCTGATATGCAACAAAGGCACTGCCAGGTTCAAACTTGAGGCCTCCCTGTAGCGAATCGTTCCTAATGGCCGGTTCCTGCCAGAGATCACGCAATCGGACGGCGGGGAACCCGCTGCGATGAAGATCGGGTCGATAAGTCCCCGATCGTTCTAAATCAGACGCGCAAGCTGGAAAGGCGCGCTGATTCCTCCCAGCTGTTTCGCCAACGGTTTGAACGCGTCGGGCAGAAGAAGACCATCGTACTAGCAGCTGGCCTATGGCAATGGCGGGTCTTCGTCCACGCTCCATGGCGACGAGTGCTAGTAAGGAATTGACGGAGGACCAAGGAACTACATAGTAGGCTGAAACGGAAAATGAAGCCAAGCAAGTAGTCCGTGGCTATGCTGATGCTACGAGGAAATTGTTGGACGACTTCTTGGGTGGAGAACGCAATAAAGTGAATGAGTACACGTGTTTCTAGAGAAGTTGCCTTCATATGAGAGTATACAATCGCGAATAACATGACATGTGCGCATACCAAAACCTCTTTGCCCTTGTTCACTTGGAATTAAAATGTAATAGGTACTTCCAACCTCCTGGAAAAATTTACGGATATTGAAAAAGTGATTGCAATCAGCATCACGAAATATACATTAATTATATATATACATATACATATAAGACGTGCAAATGAGAAAATATCGTACGATTTACCTCATGCTAGGTACGAACTTATGAGGAATTTATATTCTTTAGAATGCCGCACATTAATGCTTAAGGCCGTTGTTGATTATTGATGCATGGAAATGAATCTCACAGCCAACCTCCATTATTTACCTGAGCAAAGTATGTTCTGACAACGGTGCTAGCCCTAGTCCAAACGGGGATAAACTTGTCATGATTCTATTTTACAACTGACCAGCAACAGCTAGTAGCGTCCTGCTTTCATTCGGTCCAACACTAGCTTCTAAATCGACGGCCTGAGTCGCACAGCAATCATGAGCAGTCTATGCAGAGCGGTAGGATCCTTTTCGACTATCTTTAGCTAGCGATGCGCAGGCATCCAGGTCCTCCGCCTTATGGTCCACGTCGCGCAGGATCCGCCGCGCCCGCTGGCGCACACGCTGGCGCGCACGGCTATGGTGGCGGACAGGGCTACACTGGCGGCGGCGGAAGCAGCGGTTATGGCGGACACGGGTACACGGGGGGAGGCGGTGGCGCAGCTAGTAGGGGCCCGCGCGGAGGCAGGTCGCCGTATGCGCAGCATCCTTCCGCGCAACCGCCCGCCGCGCAAGCTCCCCCAGTGGCACAAGCAACTCCCCCGCCTCCCCGTCCGCCAGCCCCCGTGAACCCTGCCGTGGCGGAGGCTGGCGCGCGGGCTGTGCGGTGGCTTGAGGAGGCAGCGGAGGGAATCGGCGCTGACGTGGCGTTGCGCGGAGCGGCCAGCGATTCTGGAGCCACCAGTCGTTTCTTGACAGCTGGTGGCGATGGATTGCCTCAAGAAGTTCGCTCATTAGCTTGATACAAGACCGTCTCTCCTGTAACGTCATTTGCCATGCGAGAACGCTTGGAGTCTGGGGTATTTTGCTGTCTTAATTCTGCTTCGTAGTAACCCACTTTGAACCTCCTTCAGCTTTGCCATTGCACCCTTTTCGGCCATCCAACTTCTCCCTTCCAAGTCCCACTCACTCCATTGCATCTCCGTTATAACCTGTCTCAGGTGCAGCTTATAAGCCGAGTGGCGTCGCTTCTCCAGTCACCTTTGGCCCCTCAGCTGCTCGCCTGGGAGCCCACAGCCGGTCGCATCTGGATGCTGCTCGAACGCCTGCTCGCACACAGGTACGCCTCAATCTGTTGCTTGCAGGCGCTTTATTAAGAATCTCAGAAGCACACCTTGCCCATCCCCGTCCTGACGGCGCGTGTAACTTTTGAGTTGACTTAGAAAAAGCACACCTTGCCCCCTCAGCTGCTCGCTGGGAACCCACAGCCAGTCGCATCCGGATGCTGCTCGAACAGCTACTCGCGCACAGGTGTGCTTCTAGCAGGGGGTGACGTCACACATATGTGCTTTTAGAAAGGGGTGGCGCCACACATGTGTGCATCAAATCAAACAGGGGGTGACGTCACACGGGGTTGCACTATAAGCACGCTACAGGTACAAGAAGATGGTGTTACTTATGATAATGCGATAGCAATAAATTGCCAAACCCACTCTTTTCCTTACCCTCCCCACGGTCCCCTCCCGACCCACTCCTCCGCTCCTACCCTCAAGAATCCTGTTATCCAGTCAGCAGCAACCAACCCCTCTCTTCCCCCTCACCCATTTTACCCCTCTCCTCCACCCACCCACCCACCCCGTCCCTCTCCCCCACATGTATGCTCAGGGATGCGGTTATCCAGTCACAGCCAGGTGACAATTGAGTCGACTCGAAAGTCTTCCCCCTCACCCATTTTACCCTTCTCCACCCACCCGCCCACCCCGCCCCTCTCCCCTGCATGTGCGCTCAGGGATGTGGTCATCCAATCAGCAGCTGCATCCGCCATTGGCGTTGCAGCAGCGTTGCGACTCCCGTCCGAATCCATCCCTCTCTCGCCAGCCACTTCAGCATCGCCAGCTGTCGCCGTTTCATTCGCAGGTGCGGGAGAGGATTTTGTGAATAGGGGTAGGGGTGGTGAGGAGGGCTGGTGATTGGGCGGTTGAGTGGGTGGCTGATTGTGTGGGTTGTTGTTCACTTCACACTGCATGCCTCATTCACTTTACACTACTGTGTGTGTGTGTCTCGGTTTCCAGTATCAGAGCCTCAGTCGTGGGGAGGAAAACGCTGCACTTGCATTGCATGGCTGTATTGCTGCTGAATGCATGTCTTTGTGAGAACTAGAGTTTAAAGTGATAAATTAGTAACAAGCTTGAAGCTCTTTTAAGTACATCCAACATGAGGTTGGAAGGGATGGGGAGGGAATCGGGGGCAATCCCTAGGGATTGGGGGTAATTCCAAGGCAATCTCCAATTGGTGGGTTGGAGATTGCTTGGAGATCACATTTGGGTTTGGTTGGGATGTGGGGGTACACCCAACCAAACACAAAGTGCACACTACACCAAACTAGGATATAAAAGAACAAGTACAAAAGGTGAGATTGAGGGCTAACACTAACAGTCTTGTCTTGTCATCTTATTTTTTAAATGAATTCCATGAGTTCCCCACTCCCCAACCTCCACTCCCCACTCCCCAGGCTACCCACTTTCCCGCTTCCCACACCGCTCTCTCTTCCCCAGTCCCCATTGCCCTCTCTCCCCATTCCCCACCCACCACCTCTTGACTCCCATTTCCCCCATCCTCCCCCCTCCTTCCCTGTCAGGAGCGGAGCGTCTCTTTGCGTGGGCCCTCCCCCAGCTCACAGATCCCAACGCTGACGTGGCAAACACGCGCCTCGCCCTGTTGGCAGCTGCTCCCTTCTGCCAGCTGGCACCTGCACCTTCGCCACCTGAAGCTGATCCGAACTCAGCCACAACTGTTGCACCGGCAGGAGCAGACGCAGCAGCAGCAGCAGCAGCAGCAGCAGCAGCAGCAGCAGCAGCAGCAGCAGCGGTGGCAGCGGCAGCATCAGCAGCAGCAGCGGCGGCATCAGAGCCATATGTCTCCAGCTGTGTGCAGGCCTGTCAGGGCCTGCTAGAGGACGAGGGAACGCCGCCCACGCTCCTCCCACCCATCCTCTCGGTCCTCGTCTCCGTCGCCGAACGCTTTCCCGGAACCTTCCTGCAGCAGTTTGAAGAAATTATCGACCTGCTGCTAGGGTGGGCCATGGAGCCGTCAGTTCTGCCGGCTAGCCGGCAGCTTATCGGCGACTGCTTCTTGCGGTTCGGCCGGCAGTGGCGGGAGAGGGGAACGTTCACTCGAAATGTGTTGCTGAAACTGGTGGGGGATATTGAAACGGAGGTTAAAGCGGGTAAAGGGGCGGGTGATAGCGGTTCTGCTGGTGGTGCTGTTGGGGATGTGGGGGGTTCTGGCAGTAGTGGCGGAGTGGGGGGAAGGAGCAGGGCAGCAGCAGCAGCAGCAGCAGCAGCAGCAGTAGCAGCAGCAGCAGCAGCAGCGGCAGAAGAGGCAGACGCTTCAGATGCTCGCTTGGCCGCACTGACTTTATCTTTTAGCGCCGTTCTGGGTGGCGTGACAGGCTGGCGAGGCGTCCCTAGTGCCAGCACTCACAGCGGGGCTGTTGGGGGAGGTGTGAGAGGCGTGGTTATTGGGAATGCAGAAGTTAGGCGTGGGAATGTGGCTGGGAGAGAGGATGATTCATGGCGGCAGGTGGTTCCTTTGGAGAGCCTGTTCCGGCGCTGGCTGGTGCTGCTGAGAGATCTCCTGCAGGTGGACATTCAGGTGGATTCTCAGGTGGAGGGAGGAGATGGTGGGAAAGCAGTGCCGGTGGCAGCAGGGGGGGAGAGGGCAGCAGCAGAAGGTGGAGCAGCAAGTGGGGGAGCAGCAGGAGGGGGAGGGCAGGTGAGGAGGGTGCCAGTGGGAAGAGCAGGGGTGGCACGAGTGGCGTGGGTGACGGAGTGGTGGGCAGTGCTGCCTGTCTTTATCTGGGCGCTCTGTGCCCATGGTGGTACCCACCCGCAGCAGCACTCGTGGAAAGAGAAGGAACAGCAGCAGCAGCACCAACAGCCACTGCCTAGTTTCTCTCCGGTTCATCAGTTTCTGCGAAGCTTCTATGTGCCAGCTGTCGCCCCACTCCTGAACGCCGTCGCCAGCACGCGCCTCTTCCCGCCGCCCGCCCTCGCGGCCGTGCTGCGCTGCCACCTGGCAGCGCTTGATTCGCTGCGGGGACTCTGTGTGACGGAGCTGCAGGCTCAACTGGGGGAGGTGGCATCTGTCGAGTCCAACGCAGTAGATCAGCGAGACCAACAGCAGCAGCCGCAGCAGCAGCAGCAGCAGCAGCAGCAGCAGCAGCAGCAGCTGCTGCTGCAGCAACAGCAGCAGCAGCAGCAGGGCAGAGAAGAGGAGAAGCTGGAAATTCTGCAAGGAAAGAAGGGCGACTTGACCAAAGGAGACCAGGAGGAAGGAGACGGGAAGAATCCTCCCCCCAGAAGTTGTTTCCCAGCAGACCCCCTGGCTGCAGCCTTCTCTGCGCTCCTCTTCGCCCGCCCCTACGCCCCGCTCCCCCTCCTCCGCCTGCACCCCCACCCTGCTGTCGCCTCCTCTGCAGCCGACACCCTCCTCTCGCTCCTCGCCTTCCCTCCTCTCACACTCCCCCCCAGCTCTCATCCACTGCCCCTCACTCCTTCCTTATCTCACACACAGATGCCCACCTCCTCCTCCACCTCCTTAACCTCCCTATCGGTGCCGCTCTCCTTTCTGCTGGCAGAGATGCGTGACTGCTACCGTTGCACCACTCCCACCATGCAATGCAAAAGAACTGGTAACCAGGCGACTGGTGGGGTTGCTGGTGAAGGGCCAACCGGGGCAGGGCAGCAGCAGAGGAAGAAGAGGAGAAGGGCTGTGCGGCCACTGGGGTATCGTACCCTCTTTCAAGGGAATTCCGCGTTGGAAGGCTGGTGCAGGCAGCTCGGGTCCGACCTGTTTCCGTCTGCTACTGACGTGGCGGAGTGGGATTGGACGGAAGAAGAAGCGGAAGCGCTCCTGCGGTTTGACCTGGTGGCTCTGTCCTCGGGAGTGACCCACGGCGCGCTGCTGTGTGCTGAGAGCATGAGGATTGATGCGGCAGCACCACCACCATCACTATCACCATCACTGTCAGCAGCAGCAGCAGCAGCAGCAGCAGCAGTGCAGCATCATCATCATCATCAGCAAATGGTAGCAGGTATCTCCTCGTTGCTCCGTGCTCTTGTCTCAGACTACCGCCGCTGGACACACCACCTCTGGCCACTCCCGCGCTGCCAGGTGGCGGCGTTTCACGGGCTGAGGTCCGCCTCTCAGGCAGCGTTCCGAGGCGAGTGCATGCTGCTGGGGTTCAATGCGGCAACTACCACAAGCACATCCGTTATTGTCACAGCTGCTAGTGCTGGAGCCACCTCCACAAACTCAGTCCCGGGTGCACCTGTTACTGCTGGCGCTGGGGATGCTATTTCTGCGAAATCAGAGAGTACAAGCGCTGAGAACGGCACCACCACTAAGGAGGGCACTGGCAAGACTCTGGTTGGGAGGAGGAGGATTAGGAGCAGCACCACAGGTGCATCTGCAGCTGCTCTTGCGCTTGCTGAGCTGGCGCTTAGCTGGCGTGACGTGGCGTGGGCATTGCAGGAGGGCGACGCCTGTGCTGGTCTGAAGCTGGAGGCTCTGGCATGGGTCCGACAGATATCTGAGTCAGCAATGGCTGAGTCAGCGTTGTCTGAGTCAGCAGCAACACAAGCACCTACAGCAGGAGGAACAGCAGCACCAGCGGCAGCATTCACACAGTCACTTCTCCACTCAATTGTCCCCCTTTCCCTCCCCGCCATCCCTCCACGCTTCCTCCTCTCTCTCACCTCCTCTCTCCTCCATCCTTCTCTCTCCATCCGGCTCGCAGCAGCTGACAGCTTGTCGCTTCTTGCAGCCACAGGTGCACTCTTTGGGCGGCAAGCTTTGTCTGTGGCGCAAGTGGCGCTGTTCCAGGCGGGCGGCGATCACGACACTGCCGTCCGCAAGGCCATGCAGGATTTGCTTCAGAAAGCGTTGCTCTCTGCTGCTGTCTCCCCCACCATCCCCCGTCCTCTCCCCGTCCCTCCTCCTCTCCATCCCCTCTCCCCCACTCCCTCTCATCTCCCCTCTCCTCTCCTCTCACTCTCCCCTCCTTCAGTTGTACCTGAACCACCTGAGATTCTCCGTGGGCCTTCTTCAGGTGAAATGTGGCTCTTGAAAGCTGCAGCTTCAGGTGAATTGCCAGTCCACCTGGCTTCGGCATCAGGTGATTTGCCGCTCAAGCCACATCAGCTGGTGGGGGTTCTCAACCTGCTCTCTCGCAAGCAGTCCACGTCAGCGCTGCCGCCGCATCCCGATTGGCTCCTGCGGATCCTGCTCACTCTCCCATCCTCTCCACCCTCCACTTCCTCTCTTCCCTCACCTCCCCCTCTCCTTCAATCCTCTCTTGCTTCTTCGCAATCCACGTCAGCATCATCATCAGAGGCACTAGCAGCAGATGGAGAGCTCGACAGCTGGCGCCAGCTGGCGGCGGTGAACGGTGAGCTGGCGCTGAGGTGGCTGGTCCAGCTGGCAGCGCGGCAGTGCATGAGCGGGCGGCTGCGCACGCATTACGGGGGAGCATCTGCCACGTTTGCCGCCTTTGAACGGACTCTCTCTGATGCCACCACTCCCACTATCGTCCGCCTGCCCCTGCTGCCCGAGGGGGTGGTGGTGGTGGTGCCAGGGAAGAGAGGGACACGAGGAGGAGGACGAGGGGGAGGGAAAGAAGCCTCGTTGTCAGCTTTGGGCCGAACCAGCTCAGCAGGTTCGGGTGGAGATGGTGTGGCAGGTGGATATGGGAGTAGTTCCTCAGCTTCATCCTCTCAACTACCCCTCTCTTCCTCTCCCTCTCTCTCGCCTTTCCCTGCTCCCTCCCTCTCCTCCTTCCCAGCCCCATCCACCTCCTCTTTCACTCTCCTCTCCTCCTCCGCTTCCCCTTCCCTATCCACCTCCGCCTCTCCCCCTCCTCCACCCAACGTTCCCCCTCCTCCTCCTCCCATCTGCACCGGTGCTGACCTGGCACTCGACCCCAACGCGCCACGTCAGCACGAGCTGGCGCTGATTTCGCTCCTCGATTTCATGGAGGCATTAGAAAGGCAGGTCCAGTCAGCAACGGAGGGAACTTCCTTCAACCCCCCACCCTCCAACCCTAACAGCCTCGGGTTTTTCCGAGCCAACCGGCGGGTGTGTGAGGAGTGGTTCGGAAGGTTCCGGGAAGGGCTGGTGCATTTGGCGCTTGGGGTGGGGCGGAACGGGGCTGTGGTTTTCCATGCTGGAAAGAAACTAGGGGAGCTTAAGTGCCCTGTAGAAGTGAGGGAGTGGGAGTGGGAGTGGGACGAGGATGGGGATGGGGACGGGGAGCGGCAGCAGCTGCTGCAGCAGTTTCAGCAGCAGCAAGGGTGGGCCAGCTCAGCAACAGATGTCGCTCACGCGGTGCGCCACCTGGCGTTCGGTCTGTGCCAGTCCCGCGATCCAGATGCGATTGCTGGGCTGAGGGAGTGGCTGCAGGTGCTCGTGCGATCGCTACCACACCCTCCTGGCTCTGCTCCTGGTAACGCAGGAACAGCAGCAACAGCAGCAGCAGGAGGAGGAGCAGTCGAGCTTCTACAGAAACACGTGTGGCTCTTAAAGGGGATGGAGCTGGAGGCAGATGGAAGGTTCGAGGAAGCTGCCGAGCATTACAGAGGGGCGATGGATACAGGAAGAGCTGATGGTGATAGTGGCGGTGTTGGTGGTGGTGATAGTGGTGGTGTTGGTGGTGGTGATAGTGGTGGTGATAGTGGTGGTGTTGGTGGTGGTGATAGTGGTGGTGTTGGTGGGGGTATGGGGGAGAAGAGTGGGGTGAGACGAGTTGGGGAGTTGGAACGAGAGGATGGGGTGAGAGGAGGAGGAGGGGGGGCAGAGGCGGAAGAAGAGGGGTCTGTTTTGGGTGCGTGGCTGATAGACGTGTACAGTGCCGTGGGGGACTTGGAACAGCTACAGGCGTTTCTCAAGGTGCTGCTGGGTGCTGTGCTTCCTGCTGGGTTCTGTTATGTGCTTTCTCATGTTCTTACATGCTCCTGGGATCTCTGCAGTTTAAGTATCTTTGAGTGCTTGGCACTCGCTCATACTAAAAAGACTCTCTGCTAGGATGTGACGATTTTTTAGTCGACTCAAAGATCGTCTCGTCACACTCGCTCATACTAAAAAGACTCTCTGCTAGGATGTTTGGATGTTCAGTAAGGTCCGTAGATGTTCAGTAAGGTCCTTGGCACTCTGGCATAAGGTCGCATTGGCTCCTCCGCTCCGCTTACCCTTCCCTCTTCTTCCTAGCACAAAATTCTTTCTCCTCCCTCCCTCCACTAATTCTGCCCATACCCTCATACCTTCCTGTTTCCTGTCTTCCCGTTGGCCCCTGCGCTCCCATCTCCCCAACCCCGGCCTTCCAAAATGCAGGCCAATCCTCTCAGCCAATCAGCTGAAGCCGCCTCGTCAGCATGCCTTCACTTCCAGCAACCTCTGTCATCAGCTCTCTCCCTCGCATCCTTCGACCCGCTCCTCCTCACCCCCAATGACCCCGTTGCTGGACGCACGGAGGCAGGAAGAGAAGCCCACCAAGCCCCCCCTCTGCTGCTGCCTCTGCTGTCTGCTCCTGGCCGATCCCTGGATGCGTTCTCAGCCGTTAGATTCGCCCGGCACAACGCGATTGCCGCCATGCTGTATTTGAGAAGAACGGCTCATCCATCCCTGCATGCACCAGCAGCAGCAGGAGCAGGAGCAACAGGGTTACCAACAGGTTTGGCAGCTGCAGCAGTGACACCAGAAGCACACTTGACTGCATCAGCGGGAGGTGCTGACCCTAGGGAACCTTCCCTGAAGCTGCTTCTGGATGGGCTAGAATCTGCCAGGTCAGCGCTGGGTCGGCCTCTGTTGTCTGTATCCGCAGAGGGCTATCCCGTGAACCCAGCAGCAGCCATGCCGCTGGTGTTAGCAGCACTCGAATGCTCTCTCCTGCAAGACACACTTGTAGGACTGTGCAACGCAGAAGCCGACCCACTGGTAGGACTGGAGCAGCAGAACAATTCATTGCAGAAGCAGCAGCACAGGGATGGGAATCGTCAGCACCACATACACAACTTGTTCGGTTCCAGTGGTTTGGGAGGAGAAGATTCCTTGCTTGCTAGCTGTCACGATGCCACAGGCTCGCTGCTCTGGGAGTTGCCCCCTTGGCTCGGGGTGCTCCGGGCCTGCCATGTTGCCCAGCCGCAGCATGCCGAAGCTGCCTCGGTGCTTCGGCTGCATCTGGCTCGGCATGCCAGGCTCGGTGGGAACCTGCGGCTGGCGAGCCGGTTGCTGTCAGGTTCGGTGGCAGCTCCTGCGGAGCAGCAGGTTTGGCGAGATGATGTGAGAGGAGAGCTGGGGATGTGGAAAGTGATGGAGGCCTGTGAGTTGGCGCATGCTGATGGGCGACAGCTGGACGCAGTGAAAGGGACGTGGTCCGTGTGTGGCCCGGCTATGGTTGACATGCCATCTGCTGCAGCAGCATCAACAGCATTGGCATCAGCATCAGTATCAGCGATGGCAGCCGTGCATCTCACTCCGCAATGCAATCCTCTTGCTGCCCACGCGTGTCTCAAGCTCGCCAGCTGGCTGCTTCCCATTGGTTCCTTCAGCCATGGGGGTGGGGTCACTTCAGGAAAAGGACAGCTGGCAGCCTTGGATTGGCTCTTAGCCAGCACAGCGAATGGGTCTGCTTTGGTTCTCCCTCCGCCATTATTGTCACACGGGGTACTGTCACAGCAGCATGCTGTATCCATGGCCGCAGGATGGTCCTTCAAAGATTCAATCCGAACCATCCATTCCATTCCACCGAATCTAAGTCCGGAATCAGATCCAGCCACCCGATCCGATCCTGCAAGGCCGGATGTTTTGTCTGTAGCAGGGGCGGCGGTGTGGGCGGCAGTGGGAGCACGCAGCGAGATGCCGCAAGCGTGGCTGGCATACGCCCAGTGGCTGGACTGCATGGCTGACACACGCATGCCCCGCAATGCTGGCACGCTTGCTGCTGACGTGGCGCAAGGCGACAGCACAGGAGGGGAAGGAGAGGGGAGAAGGGAGGAGGAGGATGAGGAGGAGGAGCAGGAGGTGGATGTGGTAGCAGCACTGCCTGCTTCCCTTGATGATGATTACAGTGCTGATGCTGCTGCTGCTGTTGGTACGACCGGCATGGGTGCATCAATCTCCGGGCAGGGTGCCATCTCCCCACCATCGTTTCATCTACCGGACACGCTGTCGCTCTCCCCTGCACTCTCTCCTCTACGGGCCGGTTTTGGTGCTGCAGCAGCAGCACCTGCTGCTGCTGCAGAAACCGCCGCTGCTGCTACTGAAGGGGTGCATGCCACAAGTAGTGCATCGGAGGCTGCTCCCGCTGGGTTGACGGAGGGAGAGAGGGACACAGTGCTGTGTGTTGTTACCGACCTTCTGAAGCAGCTGCAGCTGGCCAACACTGATGCTGCTAGCGCTGCTGGCGGTGCTTCTGGTGATGGTATTGATGCTGATACTGCTGCCAGTGTTGGCGCCTCTGCTGCATCAGCCACCAACAAGGTGGCAGAAACGGCAGCAGAGGAAGCAGAAGCAGCGCAAGCATCCACGCTCACAGCTGCTCAATCACTGGCTGCCACGTGTCTGGCCATCATGGACCAATTACTGCTGCTCCCAGCCCCTCCTGCCTCTCCAGCCCCTCCCGCCCTGCCCTCCCACACTCTTCCCCAGCCCCTCTCTGTGTCCCCCTCTCGGTTCAAAGCCATGGGACCAAACGGATTGCATGTGGGCAGCAGGGAGGGAGGTCTGGGTGCAGTAGAGGCGCGTGGGTTGGGCGGTGGGTTGGATGCGAGGTGCATGGGAGGTGTGTCAGGGGCGAGTGATCAGGTAGAGGAGTGCGTGTGGCAGGAGCTGATGCAGCAGTTGAGTGTAGCAGTGGTGCAACAGATCACAGCCGTGCTGGGAGGAGGAGAGCAGCTGGACTATTGTGGCGAGGATAACAGCGGGGATGCTGCTGCTGCTGCTGCTGTTGCTGGCGGTGCTGCTGCGTCAGCTGTGGCAGCGGTGGCAACGCCAGCAGCGGCAGCAGCTGTGGCAGCAGCGGTGCATCAGCTGGTCGCCACCTGGCACGCCGCCCGCTTCCGCGCGCTGTCAACGCGACACCTGGCAGCCCGTGCGTACATGCGGTTCCTGCAGCTCTCTGGGTCTGGGTGGGGTGGGTCGTACGCGGGGGAGGCAGGAGGGGGGGGTGGGGTGTGCAGGGAAGGAGGAGAGGCTGGTGGGAGGAGTGGGGAAGATGGCGGAAGGAAGAGCAGGAAGAGGAGTAAAGGGAGTGTGAGTGGTGCAAGGGAGCATGGCAGGGGAGAAGATACGATGAGCAGGAAGGAGGGATGGCCGCAGGGGTTGGAGAGAGGTCAGAAGGGGTGTGAGGCTGTTGGGATGGGTGGGGCGAAGCAGAGCGGGTGGGAGGGGAGGATGGAGGAGGATGGTGGGTCATGCGGGGCGGCGGTGGCAGGTGGGAGAGCTGTGCTGACATGTGTCACGATGCGAGTGGTGGATATTATCATGCAGCACGGCTCGCACATGCCGCCCGTGGTTGCTGCCCCTGTGGATGTCGGATGCCCACACGCCTGGCAGGTATGTCTGGAGATAGGGGTGCGTGCATACCGTGGGGTATATCATTTTAAAGTACAACTATGGAGTCTGCTCATGGCATGGCAGCACTGGCACTGGCAGGGGCGGGCGGCCACTGCCTGCCAGGAGCTGTGGGAACTGTGCCCAGTTTGCTACCTGCTGTGGCACCCCTTAATGTACTCCCAGGTTTCACTTTCACATCCTGCATTCTCCTCTCTTCCCCCTTCTCTCCCACGCACAACTACCCCCCCCCCACCTCCATACAGCCCATTCTCGCCCAACTCCTGGCGGCGATATTGGCGCAGCGCAGCGCGTCAGTCAGGCTGCAGCTGACACGTGTGCTGCTCGCATTGGCCGACACCGCCCCTTCACTCGTGGTGTACTCGCTGTGTGCAGCTGAGAAGCATCGTCTGCAACACCTCAGCCTCGCCCTCGCCTCCCTTCCTGCTGGCCTTCCTCCTGCCGCCCCTCCTCCTACTCCTCCTACCGCCCCTCCTCCTGCCGCCACTCCTGCTGCCCCTTCTTCTGCTCCTCCACCTCCCTTGGCCAGTTCCGCAAGTGCTGCTGCTGCTCCATCCTTCGTCGATGCTGGTGATCAATCAGTCCCTGTTGATGACGTGGCAGCTGACCTGGCATGGCACGTGGCGCTATCTCAAGCCACACCGGGATGGCATCAGCTGCGAGCCGCTCTCTCCTTCCTGGTACTCGTTTAGAGACCTGCTCCCTCCAGTTTTGAGACCTGCTCCCTCCAGTTTTGAGACCTGCTCCCTCCAGTTTTGAGACGTCTCAAGACTTGCTCCCTCCTGCCGTTCCTCCTACCCTTTCTCATGCCCCTTCCGTGTCTCTATAACTCCAGAACCCCCCCTAATAAATCTCAATATTTCCCCATTCCCAACCGCTCAGCCTAATATTCTTCCTTTCTCCCCGTCCCCCACAAACCCTCAATTTCTCCCTCATTCCCCGCCCGACGCTCACAGGAACACCACCATCCAGCCATGGTGACATCAGCGCCTGCGCTGCTGACATCAGCGGATCGCTTGGCAGTGCTACCAGAGGAGCGGCTGCTCTCGTCCCTGCAGTCCTGCCTCTCCCTCCTCCACCGCTCCCTCTCCCCTCCACCCGTCCTTCTACCTCCTCCTCTTTCCCCCCCCTCCTTCTCCTCTTTCCCCCCCCTCCTTCTCCTCTTTCCCCCCCCTCCTTCTCCTCTTTCCCCCCCCTCCTTCTCCTCTTTCCCCCCCCTCCTTCTCCTCTTTCCCCCCCCTCCTTCTCCTCTTTCCCCCCCCTCCTTCTCCTCTTCCCCCCCCTCCTTCTCCTCTTTCCCCCCCCTCCTTCTCCTCTTTCCCCCCCCTCCTTCTCCTCTTTCCCCCCCCCTCCTTCTCCTCTTTCCCCCCCCTCCTTCTCCTCTTTCCCCCCCCTCCTTCTCCTCTTTCCCCCCCCCTCCTTCTCCTCTTTCCCCCCCCTCCTTCTCCTCTTTCCCCCCCCTCCTTCTCCTCTTTCCCCCCCCTCCTTCTCCTCTTTCCCCCCCCTCCTTCTCCTCTTTCCCCCCCCTCCTTCTCCTCTTCCCCCCCCCCTCTTTCTCCTCTTTCCCCCCCCTCCTTCTCCTCTTTCCCCCCCCTCCTTTTCCTCTTTCCCCCCCCTCCTTCTCCTCTTCCCCCCCCCTCCTTCTCCTCTTTCCCCCCCCTCCTTCTCCTCTTCCCCCCCCCTCCTTCTCCTCTTTCCCCCCCCTCCTTCTCCTCTTTCCCCCCCCCTCTTTCTCCTCTTTCCCCCCCCTCCTTTTCCTCTTTCCCCCCCCTCCTTCTCCTCTTTCCCCCCCCTCCTTCTCCTCTTTCCCCCCCCCTCTTTCTCCTCTTTCCCCCCCCTCCTTCTCCTCTTTCCCCCCCCTCCTTCTCCTCTTTCCCCCCCCTCTTTCTCCTCTTTCCCCCCCCTCCTTCTCCTCTTTCCCCCCCCTCCTTCTCCTCTTTCCCCCCCCTCCTCCTCTTTCCCCCCCCTCCTTCTCCTCTTTCCCCCCCCTCCTTCTCCTCTTTCCCCCCCCCTCTTTCTCCTCTTTCCCCCCCCTCCTTCTCCTCTTTCCCCCCCCTCCTTCTCCTCTTTCCCCCCCCTCCTTCTCCTCTTTCCCCCCCCCTCTTTCTCCTCTTTCCCCCCCCTCCTTCTCCTCTTTCCCCCCCCTCCTTCTCCTCTTTCCCCCCCCTCCTTCTCCTCTTTCCCCCCCCTCCTTCTCCTCTTTCCCCCCCCCTCCTTCTCCTCTTTCCCCCCCCTCCTTCTCCTCTTTCCCCCCCCTCCTTCTCCTCTTTCCCCCCCCTCCTTCTCCTCTTCCCCCCCCCCTCTTTCTCCTCTTTCCCCCCCCTCCTTCTCCTCTTTCCCCCCCCTCCTTCTCCTCTTTCCCCCCCCCTCTTTCTCCTCTTTCCCCCCCCTCCTTCTCCTCTTTCCCCCCCCTCCTTCTCCTCTTTCCCCCCCCTCCTTCTCCTCTTTCCCCCCCCTCCTTCTCCTCTTTCCCCCCCCTCCTTCTCCTCTTTCCCCCCCCTCCTTCTCCTCTTTCCCCCCCCCTCTTTCTCCTCTTTCCCCCCCCTCCTTCTCCTCTTTCCCCCCCCTCCTTCTCCTCTTTCCCCCCCCCTCTTTCTCCTCTTTCCCCCCCCTCCTTCTCCTCTTTCCCCCCCCCTCTTTCTCCTCTTTCCCCCCCCTCCTTCTCCTCTTTCCCCCCCCTCCTTCTCCTCTTTCCCCCCCCTCCTTCTCCTCTTTCCCCCCCCTCCTTCTCCTCTTTCCCCCCCCTCCTTCTCCTCTTTCCCCCCCCTCCTTCTCCTCTTCCCCCCCCCTCCTTCTCCTCTTTCCCCCCCCTCCTTCTCCTCTTTCCCCCCCCTCCTTCTCCTCTTTCCCCCCCCTCCTTCTCCTCTTTCCCCCCCCTCCTTCTCCTCTTCCCCCCCCCTCCTTCTCCTCTTTCCCCCCCCTCCTTTTCCTCTTTCCCCCCCCTCCTTCTCCTCTTTCCCCCCCCTCCTTCTCCTCTTTCCCCCCCCCTCTTTCTCCTCTTTCCCCCCCCTCCTTCTCCTCTTTCCCCCCCCTCCTTCTCCTCTTTCCCCCCCCTCTTTCTCCTCTTTCCCCCCCCTCCTTCTCCTCTTTCCCCCCCCTCCTTCTCCTCTTTCCCCCCCCTCCTTCTCCTCTTTCCTCCCCCTCCTTCTCCTCTTCCCCCCCCCTCCTTCTCCTCTTTCCCCCCCCTCCTTCTCCTCTTTCCCCCCCCTCCTTCTCCTCTTCCCCCCCCCTCCTTCTCCTCTTTACACCACTCCATTATTACACCATCCTCCTCATTCCCCTCTCCCCCCATATCCCTTATTCCCCCTGCCCTTTCTTCCTGGAACACCACCATCCAGCCATGGTGACATCAGCGCGCGCGCTGCTGACATCAGCGGATCGCTTGGCAGTGCTACCAGAAGAGCGGCTGCTGACCTCCCTGCAGTCCTGCCTCTCCCTCCTCCACCGCTCCCTCTCCTCCCTCCTCCTCTCCACCCGCCACCAACTCGCCGCTTCCTCCGCCGCCGCTGCTGCAGCGGTTGCTGTCCCAGCCGCTGCTGATGTGCGTGTGGGGCAGAGACAGGGGCTAAGGCAGCCAAATGCTGCTGCTTCTGCTTCTGCTGCTGGGGTTTCTGCTGGTGGCGGTGGTTCTGGTGGAGGGGGTGTTGTTTTGACTGGCGCCCCCCATTTAACACCAGTGATTTCGGGGATTGCGATTACGGTTGTGAGGAGTGGAGGGGATGGGGAGGGGGCGGAGGGAGACGCAGGGAGAGAGGAGGAGCGGCACGAGACAGGGGTGGGCGAGGGGGAGAGGGAGCGGGAGGAGCTAGCTCAAGACGACAACGAGGATGATGATGATGGCAGGGGTATGGTGGATACAGCAGTGCCTGACACTTTGCTACATGTTGATGCTGCTGCCGCCGCTGCTGGTGCTGCTGGTGCTGCGGCTGATGGTATCGAGACTGCAGCAGCACATGGGTCTTCAGTCCCTGCAATCTCAGCAGCAGTTGCCGCTGCCAATCCTACCGCTGCTGCAAGCATGCATGGGGGCAGCAGCAGTGCAGCATGGGCAGCATCAGTGCAGTCAGTCCCGACAGAGGAGGCAGTGCGAGGTGCCTTTCAAGTCAAGTACGGAGAGACTGTGGCGGCAGTGTTGACGTGCCTGCAGGGGATCCTGCACATCTGGGATGCTCCTGCTGCTGCTCCTGCTACTGCTGCAGCTCATGCGGATGCTTCCACACTTAATGATTCGTCGGCAACAGCAGCAGCAGCAGCAGCAGCAGCAGCAGCCCCACACACGAGCAGCAGTCTTCTATCTCCCCTCGCGGCCTACCACTCCCCTCGGGAACTCCATCTGCGTCCCAAGCTCCGACCGCTCATTGTTGCAGCTGTAGCGGCGCTACAGTCCCTGCCTGCTGATGTCAGCAGTGGCGCATTACGAGACAAATGCCGCCCGCTGGAGGTGGCTGTAGCGGCGCTGCAGAGGGAGCAGCGGCGGTACCTCTCGCTGCCAGATGTCGCACCGGGATTCGCCGCTTTCAGGGACACTGCTGCCCCTGTCCCTGGGTGCCTATCCAACTCCGTTACAAGCAGATTCATTACAGGATGTAGTGATTCTGGCGCTCTTCTTGATTCATGTGCTTATAACGAAGGGCTACTGACAGTAGCTGCTGTGAGAGACAAGGTCGAAGTTCTCAGCACCAAGACCCGCCCGAAGCGCATCGTGATCGTCGGATCCGATGGCCAGGATCGCAGCTTCCTGATCAAGGGTCGCGAGGACCTCCGATTGGACGCGCGGATCTCCCAGCTCTTCCAAGCAGCCAATGCGCTGATGCAGAGCCACGGACCAACCAGGAAGCGACAGCTGGCGGTGAGGCAGTATGAGGTGGTGCCTACGGGGAGTCAGTCAGGCATGATCCAGTGGCTTGAAGGGTTGCATAGTCTGTACTCGCTGTATAAGGCGTGGCAGTCCCGACAAGCTGCTGCTGCCACTGCTGCTGCCGCTGCCGCTGCTTCTGCTGGTGGGGCTGGTGCGGCTGGTGGTGCTGCAGGTGGTGGTGCAGGAGGGAAAGGCGGAGCAACAGTGCCGGCAGGAGCAACGCCAGCAGCAGCGGTGGTGCAGCGGCCGACGGAGATGTTCTTTGCCAAGGTGGCGGCCGCGCTGCAGGCGAGGGGCATGAGCCGCTCCACGCCGCGCTCTGATTGGACGAAGGACTTGAAGCGCGGCGTGTTTGATGAGCTGGCGCGGGAGGTGCCACGTCAGCTGCTGGCGAAGGAGATGTGGAGCTCAACGACAGGCTCCGAGGGGTGGTGGGGCAAGCAGCAGCGGTGAGTGGCATGATTTGAGGCGGTCGATGTATGCGAACGGAGTTACGGTGGTGGTTTTAAGCTTTAGGCTCTAGGGTTCTGAATATATGGTTCTCGGGTTCAGGGTTTAGGGTGGAGTTTGCATATTGTGAGAGTGCTCGGGAAGGGCAAAGTGGGATGCGGAAAGTGTGGAGAGGAGATCGGAGATGGGAGATGTGATGCCTTGATCTTGACCCATTCGTTCGAGAATCCTCTCCTTCATGTGCCCTCCTCTTTCCCCTCCCCTTCTTTCACCTCCCACCAGCTACATCACATCAACAGCCGTCACGAGCACAGCAGGCTACATCCTTGGCATCGGCGACCGGTAAGACCCGCTCCCTTCTCAAAGCCTTCCCTTCCTGCATTTGCCATCCTCTCCTCCCCTCCCCATCCCACCCCACCAGCTACATCACATCAACAGCCGTCACCAGCACAGCGGGCTACATCCTCGGCATCGGCGACCGCCACCTCGACAACATCCTCTGGGACCTCTCATCCTCCTCTGCACCGTGCTCCGCGCTCTCCTCCTCCCTCTCCTCCTCTTCTCTCACCGCCTCCCCCTCTGCATGCGGCTCAGTGGTACACATAGACTTCACGGTGGCGTTTGACAGAGGCCGCCTGCTCAAGGTGCCGGAGCTCGTGCCCTTCCGCCTCACCACCACGCTCAGGGGCGCCATGGGGCTGCCCGGCGCTCTCTCCCTGTCCGGGCCCTTCGCCTCCGCTGCTGTCGCTGCGTTTGAGGCTATGGGTGGCGGGTTGATGGGTGGTGGGGAGTGGGGCGGGATTGGGGGCGAGTGGGGGGGGGTTGCTGCTGTTGCTGGTGGAGAAGAAGCAAGGTGTGGAAGAAGAGAGCACGTGGGAAGAGGAGCAGGGAGTGCAGCAGGAGGGGGGCCGCTGCTGCCTGCACTTATGAGTGCGCTCCTCTGGGACCCTCTGGACGAGTGGGGAGGCCCGCTCGCCCCCACTGCTGCCACTGCCGCTCCCAAACCTGCTCCTGCCACCATTGCCCCCAGTGCTCCCCATCCTGTTCCTGCTTCGACTGCTCGTACTGGTCTCGCTCACACTGTCCCTACTGCTCCTGCTCCTGCTGCTCCCACTGCTCCTGCTCTCGCTGCTCCTCCCCACACATCTGCTGCTGCACCTATCAATTCACATTCACCAGTACCCGTGGCTGCAGCCATCCCACCACCTCCCCCCCCTGCAAAAGCCCTCCAGGAGGCTGCGCCTCGGCCTGCATTCCCAGGTGGTATCTGGGACGGGGCGCTACTGCCGTGGGAGGCGGAGGTGGTGACAGGCGCTGCTGCTCTGGGCGCACCCAGGGGGAGGTGCACCTGGGGAGGGTGGCAGCAGAGCAACGGCAGCAGCAGCATCAGCAGTGCTGCACGCTCAGCCAAGGGAGGGGCAATGAAAGGGGCAATGAAGAGGGCAATGGAGGCCATGCTTGGTGCTGCCATGACACTTCATGCCTTGACTCACTCCTCCCCCTCCCCCTCCCCCTCCTCCCCCGCCACGAGTCCCTACCTCCTGGTCAGATTCCACCTTCCTCATACCCTTCCTCCCCCATTCTTTCTTCCATTCTACCCTCCTTTCCCCACCTTACTTCCACACCCTCTCTCCCCTCTCCCTTGTACGCCTAACACCTCCAACACGGTTGTCACTTGTTCTCGTGTCTTTACCCATAACCACATGTCAAGTGCGTGTGCTTCGTCTGCTCAACCCGCCCTCCCTGCTGCTGCCCGCGAGCCCTCCTCAGCTGCACCTCTGTGCCTCTGTGCCCCACCGCTCTCTTGCCTGCACACGGTTTTCTGCATGTGTGTGTTTCGTGCTGCCCATTATGCTGTACATACAGTTTCAATCCCTCGAAAATATGGGTAAGAGCACAGCACATGGTGTGCTTAGAAAATATGCTCCTCCACCTCCATCTGTGTTCTCCTTTGCTGCCCTCTCTCTTGCGTGCTGCAGACTTTGGCTCTCAGCCTATCAGATGCCGCCAAGTCAGCTGCTGCTTCTGTTCAGGTTTGACTCACATTCGCTTTCCTTCCATCTCCATCTTGTGACGCTTCGTTCACTGTTGTACCAGGGTCTAGGTTTGGGGTCTGGGGTTGTGGTTTAGGGTTAGGGGGTGGGGTTCAGTTTTTCGTTGTTGGAGCATTGTTCTCGAGTCAAGTCAAGGCAATGTTCAATGAGTGGGTGGTTGTGCCGAGGACATGGAAGGGCAGGCAGGCACCTGTCTCATTGTGTTGCTGCGGTGTTCCCTTCCATTCTGAGAAGTCTAGAAACTTGATGGCACTTCTACACATTCTGTTGTTGTTATTTTTCGAAGCCTTGGTGTTCCCTTGCTCTTAGTTCTCGGCTCACCTCATTTATTTCGCGTTCTCACTTTCGTCTTCTTATATTTCGTCCAATTTCTTTCCACCACGACAGCACCTTATCGAGACGTCAGAATCCAAGAATCAGGCTCACTCCGACCTCGTAGCAGCACAGGAATCCTCCAAGGAGCTTCTTATGGAAGAGGAAGCTTCCAGGCAAGCGATGAGAGCAGCCATGGAAGCCCTCTCTCGGATCGGCGACCAGCATCGGGGGAAGGCTCGGCGCGCCGAAGCTAAGGCCGCAGCAGCCATGGATGCCGTGGGTGAGGCTCGGCGGTGGTTGGACGACAAGCGTGTGGCACTTGCTGAGCTGGCGCCGTCATTGCCGCCAGCTGTTGCTGCCTCTGGTGTTTTGATGCCTATTCAGGGTGGTGTGAGTGGGATAAGTAGTGGAAGTGGGAGTGCGAGTGGGATTGGGAGTGGGAGTGCGAGTGACAGCGCCCGTAGTGCTGGATGGTTGATGGTGGAGGATGTGAGGCGGTGGGCTGCTGCTGCCCTGCCCAACATGGCATGGCAGGACGGCCGTGCTGATACCACCCTGCCGTTACTCCTCTCCTCCTCCTCATCACCATCACCAGCATCATCCTCGTTGCAGTCACCATCACTGACATCACCTCCCATTAGCAGATCGCTTTTGTCACAGCCGGTAATGTCAGCGCCTAGCAGCACACTGTCTCTTCTGGATATCGCTACCAACCCATTACCCTCCTCTGCTCCTCTGCAGCAGCAGCAGCAGCAGCCGCAGCAGCCAACTGTACTTCCCCTCGCCGTCATCCCAGAGGCTCTCCGTGCCACCTGTCGCCAGCTGGACCTGCACGTGTGCCAGCTGGCGGCCGCGCGCTGCCGCGCCGTGCTGCGATTGGTCGGCGGGCTGAGGGCGTATGGGAAGGCAGCGGTGGTGGCAGGCAGGGTGGGGGTGACGGGCGGGAGGAGGAGAGGCAGGGCGAGGGGCACAGTAGGATCTGCTGAGGAAGAAGTAGAGAAGGATGCGAGCCAAGGTGAAGTAAGATCTGCTGAGGAAGAAGCAGTTACCAGCCAACCACTGCGCGGTCTCCCAACTGCCACCACAGCTGTCTGCATAAACACTTATCTGAGCACGAGTGCTGTGAGCCGGTGGGCGCGTGCACTGGAGGCCACGGTGACAGCCGCGGGGCTGAGAGCGCTGCCAAGTGGTGTGGGGGCGAGAGAGATGCGCGACGAGGCGAGGGCTGCGAGAGAGGTGCTTGATGGGATGGGGCGAGTGGATGGCGGCGTGGGGGGTGGTAGGCGTGTGTGGGCGCTGCCAGGAGGAGGAGGAGGTGAAGGGATGGTAGAGGGCCTTGGCAGTAGCACTGGCGGTAGCAGCAGTAGCAGCGGCAGGAGTAGTGAGGAGCGATTGTTGGAGCGAAGGCAGGTTCTGGTTAAGGTGGTAGAGGCTGCACTGAGGGCGGTGAGAGGGGAGAGCAACAGCGAGCAAGACTTGCACTTAGAGGAGACGAGCAAGGAGGAGGATGAGGGAGAGAGTGACGAGAAGCAGCTGGAGGGAGTGGTGAGGGAGATTGAGAGGGTGCTGGGAGAAGAGGGCGGGGGAGGTGGCAACCAGGGAAGGCTGCACGCATTGGTGGCAGCTGTTGGCCTGGCAGCGGCAGCAGGCTCAGCAGTAGCAGGCGCTGGTGATGCTGCTGCTGCTGACAGTGATGCTTCCAGCAGAGAGGAATGGCAGACAGCGGGGAACGAGCTGACAGAGGGCTCAGGCGTGAAGGAATCCAAAACAGAGGGAGCTCAAGTGGGAGCAACGAAGGAGCGAGCGCAAGAGGGAGTGCTGCGAGGGGTGATGGCACGAGTGGAGGGCAGAATTTTGTTCGGCTCTGCACTGGCCTCTCTGCTGACTCAGCTGACAGCTGGCGGTGGGAAGCAGAGCAGTGAGCATGCTGAGCTGGCAGAGGAGTCTGCAGGAAAGCAGCACGTGGCACTGCCTGAGACCCAGCAGCTGCCTTCCCTGCACCTGGCGTCCCAGCAGCAGCGAGAAGCAACGCAGCAGGAGCCAATGCTTCCTAGTCCCGCTGTCATTCCTGCCACTCCCTCCCTGCCATACTCCCTGTCCTCCTTGTCACCCCGACCTCTATCAATCCCCTCTCTTTCATCCCCTGTGCCCTCACCTCCTGCCACTCCTCCTGCCCACTTGCCTGCACGTCCTTCGCTCTCTCAAGACACAGCTCCTGATGCCGACGCTGTTGCTCCTTGTGATGCTCATGTGGTTTCTACTGATGTTTCCACTGCTGCTTCTGTTTCTGCCGCTGCTGCTGCTGTTCCTGCTGATGCTGCTGCTGCTGCTGCTGCTGCTGCTGTTGCTGCTGCTGCTGCTGCTGCTGGTGCAAGCACCGCAGCAGGCAGTGCTGATGTCACTGCAGAAGCAGCTGTAGCAGGCAGCAGTGTGTCCGTCACACTTCATGCACACCTCGTTGCTGCAGCAGGCAGTGGTGGCACAGTGTCCTCACTGGCTCCAATGGTATCAGAGCACCTTCCTGCAGTAGTTCCTCTTGCTTGCTTCAGAGAATCCTTGCAAGCAGCGCTTGCTGCGCTTCATGCTGCTCGCTCCCTCTATTCCCTCCACCTCCACCACCACCTGCCGAGCCTCGTTCCGAGCCTACTTCCGAGCCCAGTTCCGAGCGCTGTTCCGAACATGTCGAGTGCCGCTTTGTCACTAGACAAGCAAGCAGCCTTGTCGCCTCTTGTGGCCCAGTTCCTGGAAGCTTCTGAAAGGGTTGAGTGTCTGGTGCAGGGAGGGGGGAAGCTGGCCACAAGTGACAATAAAGGTGGTGATAGTGGAGGGGGGAAGGAAAGCAGCAGTGGTGCTGTGGATGGTGATAGTAAAGGGGGGGAGGGAAGCAGCATTGGCAGTGTGGGTGGTGATGTGGCAGGCCGTGACTCATGGCTGCTGGGTACTCTCCAAACGGAGGAGAGGGCTATAGAGCAGCTCATGGGCTCGCTCCCTGCTGCTGCTGCTGTTGGCGCTGCTGTTCCTGTTGCTCCTCCTGCTGCTGGTGCTGCTGCTGGTAGTGGTAATGCTGATATTGTTAGCGCTGATGTTTCTGGTGCTAGTGATGCCGCCGCGCCTACTGCAGAGGTTGCAGGGGAGCAGAAGGTAGACAATAAGGGAACTCATGAATCCGCCTCTGCACCCTCCTCTCCCTCCCTCACACAGCAGCACGAGCCATCGCAACCAAAACCTGCTGTCTCTCCATCGCCTCGCCCTGATTCTTCTATTCCCCAATCCCCTCCCACCTCCCCTCCCTCTCAATCCCCCACACCTCACAAGCCCCTCAGCTCTCTCTCTCCTCTCCCCGCTCCCTTCGTCCCTTCCCCAGCCTTCTCCCTCCCCTCCTCCCTCTCCTCCTCCTTTCACCCCGCTTCTTCCTCCTCCCTCACCTCCTCCCCCTCGCCGCCGCCCAAGCCCAAGTTCCAGCTGGCAGACACTGTTCATGCCGCCCCGTTCGTGCCCAGACAGGCCATGCTACACCACACTGCTGCTCCCTACTCCCCATCCCTGCCTGCTGCTGCTGCTGCTGCTGCTGCTGCCACCGCGCCTGCTGCTCCTCCTCCTATGCCTCCTCTGTCGATCTCTTCCCCTTCAGCAACAGCAGCTGTTGCAGCAGCCAAGGCGGCATCAGCCAGAGCAGCTGCTCTTGTTGCTAGTGCTGCTGCTGCAGCCGCTGCTGCTGCTACTGCTGCTGCTGCTGCTTCCACTGTTCCTAGCGTTGCTGTTGCACCCGCACCACCATCAGCATCACCAGCATCAGCACCACCAGCAGCATCGGCATTGTCGGCAGCAGCAGGATCCGCAGCTCCAGCAGTGGAAGCATCAGCACCATTGCATTCAGGCCTTGCTCCCTCTCCTCTCTCTCCTCTCTCTCCTCTCTCTCCTCTCCCTGCTCCGCCCCATCCCCTTGACCCATCTTCCAGCACTGCTCTGATCCACCTCTACCGGTCGTTTGACTCTCTTGCAGCAGCCCACTCTGCCTTCCTATCTCTCCTCCCAACCTCTGCTGTCCCTGCTGCTCTTGATGCTCCACTCACCACTACTGCTGCAGCAAAACCAGCAGCAACCTCCACTCCTCTCCTCCGTCTGCCTCCGTCAGTTCGTCTTTTTGTGGTGCGGGTGCAACTGGTGGCTGCAGTGCTGCGAGCCTGTCTGGCTGAGAGGAAGGCAGCAAACGCAGGGCGTGCTGAGGAGGGGAAGCAGGAGAGTATCGAGAAAAGCATATCCGGCACAGAGGTAGAAGGAAGGGGTGAGGACTTGGAGGGGCAGGAGGGAAGTCAGAGTAGAGAAGCTGCTCTTTTCAAGAAGATCCATGTGGCGATTCGTGATTGGCTGAGGGCATACACTACTGAGTGTGTGGGGCCGCTAGTGGAGGGTCTGGTGTGTTGGTTCGTGCATCCTGCCAATCTGTCCGCTGTGCTCCATGCTCATTCTGCCACCGCTGTTGCTGCCAGTGGTTCAGGCAATGCTGCTGTTGCTGTTGCTGTCGATGGTTCTGGTGATGCTGCTGCTGCTGCTAGTGGTTCAGGTAACACTGCCGCTGGTGCTGCCGTTGCTGCTGGTGCTGCATTTGATGGTGCTCCGGTGGGTGTTGACAGGCAAGTTCTGTCGTCCCTCATTGGCCAGTTCTGCCAGGCTGAGGTCAGCAGGCGTTCTGCTGACGCCAGGAAGCAGCACACATCTGACGATTCGAATCTTTCCGTGCCATCCCCGCGCATGCACGCTGCACACGTGGCAGCCCTTGCTGCTGCACGTGCTGCGCTGGCAGGCTTTGATTGGCTGCACGAGCCTCAGCTGCCAGCTGGATCTGTGACACCTGTCCCTGTTGGTGCCACCCTGGCAGCGAACTGTAGTGGCTTTGGTGATGCCGCTGGTGCTGATGCTTCTGGGCTCAGTAGTGGTGGTGGTACTGGCAGCATTCAGCAGAAGCAGCACCGGCAGCAGCTGCAACCATCGCCACCCCCCTCACGCACTGCCCTGCTAAGCCAAATCTGCGCCGATCTGGCCGTGGTGCTAAAGACAACGGAAGCCATCCAGATGTGGGAGGCGGCCGGCGCCACTGTAGAAGCCGACCTGGACCGGCTGCTCTTCTGGTGGTATAGCACCACTTCGTCTAGCACCACCACCACTACCACCACCACCACCACCAGCGGCACCACCACTGGCAGCATCACCAGAAGCAGCAGCAGTGGCAAGGCGGCATCAGCATCAGCAGCAACACCAACCTCCCTCCCTGCTTCGTACTTGGAGCGGAAGCAGCGGCAGCGGCAGGTGCTGTGGGGGGGGCATGAGTGCGTGGGGCGGGTGGTGCAGGTGGTGGGGCGAGTGCTGCAGGTAGAGGCTGGCAGGGACGGCAGGGTTATTAAAGATCCCGTTGCTGCCCTCAGTGCTGCCGCCAATGCTGCTGCTAATGCTGCTGTGGCCAGTGCTACTGCTGCCACTGCTACTGGTGCTGTTGCTGTTGCTGCTGCTGCTGCTGCTGCTGCTGCTGCTGCTGCTGCCGGCAGTGCTGCTGGTGCTGCCAGTTCTGCTGCTGCTGCCCCTGCTACTTCTCCAGCACCTCTGTTCCCGTCGGGTCTGCCAGCTGGCGGCCGGCCGGCTGCGGCAGTTTATGGGCCGCTGCTGATGGACGTGGACAGGGCAGTTGCTGACGTGGCAGGTGAGAAGGTGAAAGGGAAGAGATTCAGATCTTCTCTTGCTTGCATCATCTTCCACTCCGTTGTAACGAGGCGACTTTTGAGTCGACTCAAAAGTCCCCCAGTCTTCTCTTCTGCCCTCCGCCTTTCCTTCCCCCCATCCCCTGCCTGCTTTCCCTTTTCTCCTCTCCACCTCAGCCTGTGCTGCATCTTTCGCAACCCTCTTACCAAACAGCTTTCTCATCTTTCTCTCAAAATATCCTTCCCCCCCACCCGTTCAAGCAGCCTCCTCAGCGCATCTGCAGGTGGCACAGCAGGCAGAGAGGGCGGCTCGAGCGGCTCAGGTGGAAACCACAGAGGCGCGACAGGCGGCTCAGAAGCTAGTCGACAGGCTGTCAGGTGAATCAACAGGATAGCAGGTGACGTACTCCAATCTCAGGTGTCAGAACAGGGTTTTCAAGTTTACCTCCTGTTATGCTCACCTTTCTGTCTCCCTAATCTCTCTGAGGTTGCTTCTCTTCCCCTTGCACCCTGCAAAAAAACCCTCCCCCCCATACCCACCCCCCCATTTCAGTCACACTGCAGGAACAGTCAGCCAATCACAGCGCTGCCCTCTCCCAAGCGCACCAAGCAGCAGCTGGCCTCTCATTGGCTGCTGCCAGCCTCGCCCCCTTCCTCTCCCACTCCATCCTGCCACTCGTTCGCCAGGTCAGTGCTGGTCAATGCTGTTCAATGTTGGTCAATGCAGGCCCTCTCCCTCCTTGCCCTCCTATGTTCCAACTCTGGTGCCAACACTCTGCTTCCTCCAACACTCCAACAGCTCTTCAAAACGGAGACATCTGCTTTTTGGGGCGGCTAGAAATGCATCTGTTTCCCTTGCTCCCAAACACCATGCCTCTCCAACGCTCCAACAGGTCTTTGATGGCGCATCTGCAGTGCAGGGCTCCGCATTCTCCGCTATAATCACACCGGATATTGTCACAAGCGCACAGAAAGTGCATTCGGAGTGCCGCGGTTTCATCGACCTGCTTGAATCAGTAAGTGCGGATAAGATGATGCAACCAAACTTCGTTGTGCTCAAGTCAGTGGGTCTATTCATACCCCACCCATCATGCTCCACCCCCCAATGCATGGTGGGCCCCATGACGGCCATGCTAAATCATTCATGCACATGCACCATGCATACATTTATTTCTGTTATGACTGTTTATATGTATATATAAATGTATTTTAGATTTTTTTTATTTTATTTTTTTTCGTTTTGTGTCTCACATACCGAGTCCGCAGCCATTGCTTCGCGATATCACTCCCTCTGCATCTGTGTTTCAGACTATCCAACCTGCGTTCCTCCCAACCTCACCCACTCTCCCTCGCAGGTCCAAGGGGCAACATCTCCTCTTCCCTCTTCTCACCCCCACCACCTCTCCGCTCTCCTCCGCCTCTCTTCCGCCCTGCACCAGCAATGCTTCTCCCTCCTCCCATCCATCTCCCATCTCGCACAAACCACCCTCTCCGCCCTCCACGCTCTCCGACTCTCCAAGCGCTGCCACCTGGCATCCCAGTCAGCGGCGCCAGCGGCGCGAGAGTCTGAGCTGGCAGCAGAATTGCCGCCAGCAGGGCGGGTGTCGGTGGAAACACTGGATGGCGCTGTGCTGGCGGTGTGTAGGCGCGGTGAGTGCTTTCTGTGTGTCTCATAGCCTGCCTGGAATCATCTTGTTACCTGTCATTGTTGGGTTGGGACCAGTCACGATGCATTCTGAGACGAATGTAGATGGAAGCTTTGAATGATGCTGTGCTGGCAGTGGTGAATCGGCGCGGTGAGTGCTGCTTCCTGTTCCCATGACCTTAGAGCCTTCCTTGTTTCTCTCTCCCCTATCCCCCACCATGTCTGTATGCGTTCTCCTGACTTGTCTTTCTTGCTTGACTCGCTTGACTTGCTTGATCTGCGTGCGTGACTCTCTTCACTCAGAGGTGATGGCCTGGCAGCACGCAGAGCAGGCCATTTTCCGCCTGCAGCAAAAAACTCAACAATCAAGACCCCCTTCTGTGCCCTTTCCTTGACTTGCTTGACCTGGTTGACTCAGAGGCCAAGGCAAGGCAGCATGCGGAGCAGGTCATATTGCACCTGCAGCAGAAGCTCAACAAGCAGGACCCCCTTCTGCTCCCTGGTGCCACGCCAAGGTAACATGCCAACGTCCATCCAAACCATTATCGCTCCAGATCTGATCATAATTCCCACCCAGCCACCCTGCTTTCATTCTTCCCTGCCTTCTTACACGGCGGGCTGTTTCGTTTTTTTTTTTTTTTTTTTTTTTTCCCATTCTCTACTTTCCAACTCTGGCACTCCTGTGTGCAGCAGCAGCGGCTGCAACAGCAGCAACGCCAGATCGCACGAGCCTTCCACCTCCAAAACCATGTTTTCAACAAAGAAGGTGGTGAGGCAGCTGATGGTGGATGCCTGTAGCCCGGACAACCTGTGCGAGATGTACGAGGGCTGGATGCCATGGATCTGATTTGGATTTAGGGTTTCGGGTGCCTTATATGGTGACTTTTGAGGCCCCTCAGAGGATGCTTTCAGCCAAAGAGGTGGTGAGGCAGCTGATGGTGGAGGCGTGTAGCTCTGACAACCTGTGCGAGATGTATGAGGGCTGGATGCCATGGATCTGATGGCTTTTGAGTGGCCATGGACCTTCAAGTGTGAAGTGCAAGGGGGCTGGGGGGGAGTCAAGATTGCAGGGGGGGGGAGGAGAAAAGGGGAGAGGAAAGACACTATTGCAATGGCTACGGCTGAAGGTTTTTCTTTGGGGAATGGGAACGGCGAAAGTCCAGACCTGCGGCACTCCAGCGTGGCACTAGATATGAAGGCCAGAACATTGGAAATATTTCACCACTAATGTAGAAAGCGGCAAATGTACCTTCTCCAATTTGTGTTGGCTGGGTTGGGTCATACATTTTTTCATTAGGGCTCGTTCAACGCTGTTTGGTACTGCTATGTTCAACGGTTAGTTCGAAGTGGTTTTCACACAGACCAGTGGCACCAGAATGAACCTTTCAGAGTCAATCAACGAACGAATATGACCCGGAAAGTAAGTTCCATAAAGGGCGACTATAGCGAATCTGCCTTAGCGAACTAGATCTGCAGGCCTTCCTTTCCTTTCTGACGTGGCCGCCTGTTGGAGCAACGGAAACGTGCTGGCGGCGGTTTGTTGGATAAGCCTAGCCGAGTCCAATGGGACAGAACTGTTCAGGTCCACACAAGACGACAAATGACAGGTTAGTCAGGTGGAAATCCAAACACATCATCAGCACACCCTCTTGACAAATAGTTTTCTCGAAACGGGTAACACTCGCCTTGCTCGTGACCACTTTTTCTTGCTCGGCCGGAGGTTGGAGGAGGAAGAGCCGACTCATCTGATTTGCAGACGAAAAGCGCGAGACTCTTGCTCTTGACATCCACTGCTCTTGCTTTCTAGCGTCAGGCATATCTGGGGTGTCTGGCTGGCCATCAGCCCGCGACTCGAAAGGAATTAATGCTCGAACCGCGCATGTGAGCCACCCCATCATTTATCTTAGTCAGGCCAACCACTCGCCTCGTACAGTACACCTTGATTCTTCACGCCCCTCTCATTCATTGAACACATCTCGTCGTCATACTTGTCACCCAACCGCACCACGCCACTTCACTTTCACTTGCTCCACCAATTTGATTGGACATACCTTAGTATGGCTGACGGAACCGCGGAAGGAGGACACAACTCCTGCACAGTGCGCCTAACTCCAACGCAGTTCACTTATGCAGATTGTACGAAAGAGTCGTCAAAGAGCAATACTGTAGTTGTGACTCTAGCTGGTTTTGTTCGTTCTTCACTCGCCCTGCAGAATAAATCAGTCACGACTCACGACGGCCTCGTTTCAACAGCAAGCACGAATCACGTACTGTGGTAGCAGCACTGATAAGCAAGCACCCGATCCCTTCCTCTCAGAAATTTAATAATAATAAAAAGAAGGCTCCGCTTTCTCGAGCAGGGTAGTATCTACTCAAGAGCCGTTTCGGCGCTAGCTGAGAGCCTTTCACAGAAAAAGTAGCTCGCGCTCTGCCAGGTATACATCTGTAACGGCACTGCTAAAGCGATCCGGCCGTTGTTCCATTCTATCGCGGTGACATATTTTTTCCTGCGTCAGGTCTCGCGAGCGCTAGTACTATGGCGTCGCCGCGCTCAACGGCCGCCTCCGATTTACGGCGACTATCATCGCGGCGGCTCCGAGTGGCGTGGTTTGCGCTGCTGTTGCTCTTTTCGCCAATCTCATCGGCCAGCGCCGGAGTCACCATGCACAGCGATGCAGGTGCGCAGCGATTCATGTGCGCAGCGATTCAGGTGTGCGTGCGAAAGTAATCAGGCGTCGTGCACTAACATTAGCAGGGTCGTTTTGTGCACGACGCCTGAATCGTAGTCGGACGAATTGCGTTTTAAGCTCCTTCGTGATTCCACCGTCGCGACGGCAGTCTCGTTCAACGAAGAAGAAGTTCTTCTGCAGGCGCCATTTGAATTACTATATCAGTCATAGACGCTTTAGGGGCTCCTCAAAAATAGACTTCGCCGTCGGGTCGTTAGTCTATTTGCACCGCAGGGTTGCATTGACCCTTTCAGGTGTCATATGATGAAACGATTGACAAGCGGCTCGGGAATCCTGCAAGGCGCCACACTGGAATCCTCAACTCAATCCATCTTTACTTACCCCTTGGTCGTTTTCTCCACGTCGTCGCGTCGCAGAGGCGGCGCTGCTACAGTTGCTTGACGACGCACAGGTGCCGCTATCGGACTGGGCGGCGGGTCAGACGTGCACGCCGGACGGCGAGGTGCAGCCGTCGTCGGAGGGATGGACGTACGTGCGCTGCGACTCCAATGGTCAACCGGTTTCACTGTAAGTCAACGGGTCTCATTGCAAGTCAACGCATGTCCTTTGGACCCGGATTGACCGTTCGAGTCGCAGCGCACGTCGTCGTCGGAGGGATGGACGTACGTGCGCTGCGACTCCAACGGACAACCGGTTTCGCTGTGATTCACCCCATGCCTCAGCGAATCAACCCGTGTCGCTGTGATTCGTCTCAAGCTCCGAGTCGCATCGCATGCGCTTCTACTTCCTCGGTTTCATTAACTACCGCTTTAACTTCCCCAACTTAGATCCTTCCTATTCGTGTTGCCGATTTTCCTCTCTTTTTCCTCCCGCTCTCCCTCCCCTCCTCCCACCCGCAGCGTGCTCAACTTTCATGGGCCTCGTGGGGAACCTCAGCTTTGGGACGGCTCAAAGTGATTCAAAATCAAGCTCAAACCTCCTCTCTCTCTCCCTCCCCCCCTCCCACCTGCAGCGTGCTTAACTTCATGAGCCTCGTAGGGAACCTCAGCCCCGACCTCAGCGCCCTCTCTGCGCTCACTACCATGTCAGTACCACCGCCACCATACACCCCTCTCCTTGTCAGTTCCACCGCCACCATATATCCCTCTCCATGTCAGTTCCACCGCCACCATATATCCCTCTCCATGTCACCACCTTCCTCCTCCCTCCCGCGCTCACTGCCATGTGTGTGCTCGCCGCATCATTCTCCTCCTCCCTGTGCACTCATGCCCATGTCAGTACCACCGATTCCCCCTCATCGTCTCTCTCTCACTCTCCTCCAATCCATTTCCTCCTCTTTTAACCTCTCACCACCCATCTCAACACCCTTTCACTCCCCTCTACCTACAGCGACCTGGGAATGAACCTCTTCAACGTGGAGCTCAGCGATTTTGTCGCCCCGCTTCTGCAGATCAAGTCTGTTGCCTACATGTATGTAACCAACCAAGGTCGTTACATTACATACATTCATGCTGAAAAAAGTCACTTTTTTTTGTTTTTTTCAAGAATGTTTCCCGTCTTCACCGATTCGAGACTCCGGTAGCCTTTTCTGCCCCCTAATATTTTTTTCCCATTTTTCCATTCCTACCTCTTAATAAATCATCACTACTCCGCCTTCTCTCTTCTCTCACCCCAACAGCGACCTGTCCAGTAACTACCTCTATGGCTCCGTACCAGAAGCCCTCCTCCTCATGCCCAACCTAGAACTCCTGTAAGCCTTTCAATCTCTCCGTGCCTTCGTGCATCGTTTCCCACCTTTTGGTGTATTTATGCCCTCTGCCTCTGTTCCAATACCAACTTGTCAATCCACATGTCCCTGTCGCTGTCTCTGTCTCTGTCTCTGTCTCTGTCACTCTCTCTGTCACTCTCTCTGTCTGAGCATCTGTATGTCCCCCTGCCAGCGCAGTAACCTCCATCGGCCTGCGCCTTAACTTTGGCACCATCACACCCGTTCTGTCTATACCCGGGCCTCAACCTCCCCCCCTCTAAGCTCTTTGGCACTCCTCCCCAGAAACATATCAAATCTAATCATGCCTCCACTACCTTTCCTCCTCTCACTCTCTCACTACTTCCCACCCCTCTCCCTTCCCCCTTCCCCTTCCCCATCTCCCGCTGCCCTTTTCCGCTCTCCCTTTCCCATCAGCTCCCTAGCCTCCAACTATCTCACCGGCGTTCTGCCGTCTCCTCCCTCCGTCGCACTGAAAACGCTCGACGTCTCAGGGAACTTGTTCGCTGGTTCCTTCCCCTCCTTCGCCTCGCAACTCGACGAGTGCAGCGCGGGCGGCAACTGCTTGTCTTCTTCCGGGCACTGTTCATCTGGGGAGGGAGCGGGTGGGGAGCAGAGGGGGGAGGAGGCATGTGCAGTGTGTGGCGGGTCAATGAAGTCAATGCAAGTCAACCTGTGTGGCGAGGGGAGAGTGTGTGTAGCAGAGATGGATACTGTTCCTGAATCAGCGGACGAGGCGGGGAGTGTGACTGTAACGATGGTGTGCCAAGACGGTAAGAAACCAAACACTTTTTTTCCTCTTTTTCTTTTCTTTATTTGGTCCCGTTTAGCCTGCCTTTGAGCCTCTTTATCCATTGTAGTTCCTTATGTTAAGGCCAATCAAACACACTCACTTGTAACAATCCTCTCCTTTGTACCCCTCTCTTTCCATGCGATTCCTTTGCATCTACTCACAGTTTTGGCTGCTGAAGATGAGGACGTGGGAGACGAGAGTGGCAATACCGATGGCCCTAAGGAGAAGGAGGATAATGAAATTGGTGATGGCAGCAGTAGTGATGAGAGCAATGGTGGGAGTAGTGATACCGCCTCCCAGACGAAAAGCAGCGACAGCAGCACAAGTGGCAGCACTGCTGTTGACAGTAGCAGCAGCAACAGTGGTACCAGCAGCAGCAGCACTGGTAGCAGCAGCAGCAGCAGCAGCAGCAGTGGTAGTAGCAGCAGCAGCAGCACTGGTGGCAGCAGCAGCAGCACTGGTGGCAGCAGCAGCAGCAGTGATAGCTGCAGCAGCAGCAGCAAAGGGAGTGATGCGAGTGGGAGCAGCAGCCTGGTCAAGGATGCAGGCAGCAGTGGCGGTGGCGCTAGCACTGGGAGTGGTAGTGACAGTGACAGCATAATTGTGGGCGCCACTGATGCTAAGGGTGGCAGCAGCGGCGATGAATCTGCAAAAGAATCTCCCACAGGTGCTTCTGAGGACGGTGCGAAGAGCAGTGCTGATAGTGGTGCTGACAGTGGTGCTAAAAGCGGTGCTGGCAGTGGTAGTGAAGAGAAGGAGGGGGACAGTGGAGGGGACAATACGCTTGCTGGATCGGAAGACAAGGACGGAGATGAGGAGGAGGGAGGAGAGGAGGAAGGGAATGTTGAGGAGGGAGAGGAGGAGATTAGTGGTGAAGGAGAAGAGGACACGACGAGTGCGGCGGGAGAGAAGGGAAGTGGTGAGGGAAGCAGCGGGGTGAGCCAATCAGATGGAAGTGCAAAGTCCGGGGAGGAAGGTGGTACTGAGGAGAAGGTGATGGACCACGGGAGCAGCAGCAGTAGCAGCGGAAACAGTGGCAGTAGCAGTAGCGGTAGCAGTGGCAGCGGTAGCAGCAGTAGTAGCAGTGGCAGCAGTGGCAGCAGTGGCAGCGGCAGCAGTGGCAGCGGTAGCAGCAGTAGCAGCAGTGGCAGCAGTGGCAGCGGTAGCAGCAGCAGTAGTGGCAACAAAAAAAGCGGTGGTGGTTCAAAAGGGGGCAGCAAGGGCAAGGGAGGAAGCAGCAAAGGAGGCAGCAGCAGTGGCGACAACAGCAGCAGTGGCAGCAGCAAGGCAGAGGGGGGTCTTGGGGACGAGGCAGCACCTAAGGAAGGTTCAACCGGGGAAGGTGCCGGTGCGGGGGGGACGAATGCAGGTGATACCAAAGTAGGCAGTGAGACAGGGGCAGGGACAGGAACGAAGAAGAAATGTAACAAGAGGATCAAATGCCCCAAGGGCGCGTGCGGGGGGCGGCGGAGGCGGTGCGTTCCTTACTACAGGAGTTGCAATGGCTACAAGTGCAGGTGAAGGAAGGTGGCATGCAGTTCCTGTTGGCAGGTGGAAAGAGCATCAATACATACAGACTCGGCCACAGAGCCTTCTGCTGTGAGGGACCCTCACGCCTCACCCTCAACCCCAAGCAAGATTCGAGATATGTATTAGTGACATTGGGCGGGCGTGGTGTATAATGTATTAGAGTCATGTTGTATTATGTGTATTGTTAAAGCTCCAGTATACATTTGTCAGCGGGTTGTAGGGTTTGTATAGTGTGCCTCACAGGTTTGGGGCAACTTTTCAAGTTCCTAAGGATTTTGAACCCCTCCTTTTAAATGTATACCGCTGCTTTAATGGAAATTGAAAAGTATGTGCCAGTGCCAGATGTATGAGAAACCCGTTGTAGGTAGAAGTAATGAGGACAAGGAATTAATCTATAATATCAAATGTACATGTAAAGGGACTGAGGATACCAGAAAGGTGGTTCTAACAAGTATGCTGTCAACGCTGATTCTGATACCGTACTCGTACCTACCTAGCACCTGTACAAATCTTCAGCAAATTGAAACACAAAATTGACAGGAGGCAATTCACTTCAAACGTTCCGCTTCTTTTGAGAATTCTCATAAGGGGTTGGTTGTCAGCGTCCCGCCCACCACACCACATCGTTGCAGACAGCACACAGTGGGCTGCATATAAGTCTTCTGATCTGAGGCGTCTTCATACAGTACTAGTGGTAGGCTGCAGGCTGGGATGTGGGTGTGGGTCATAGGTATGTATAAGCAGAGCGATACTGCCTCCACAACAGGTTGCACTCATGCTCCTCCTGCTCTTCCTACTCCTTTTACGTGTCAGATTGTGGCACCTTCACATCGCCCATCAAAACCCCCTCCACACACTCCTCTCCTTCCCTTGCCCCTCTGTCTCCCATCCCCCACCCTCCTCACTCCACCATCTCCAGCACCTTCACATCGCCCATTGAATTCGCCGCCACCAGGGAGTGAGTGCCCTTGCGCCAACACACGCTGCTCACAAAGTGCCCTGCGTCCTCCCCCCCTGCCCGCCCTGTGACTGCATCCACGGCGCCGAAGCGGTGGCATGTAATGGGGGCTGGCACACTGCGGTGGTACACATACGCCTGGGATGGGGGACAAGTAGGGAAAGAGATTAAAAAAAAAAAGAGAGAAAGGGGGTAATTGAGTCCGCCTGCTCGCCCCGTGAATGCATCCACAGCGCCGAAGCGATGGCACGTTATGGGAGCTGGCACACTCCTGTGGTACACATAGGCCTGGAAGAAAGAAGGGGAGAAAGGGGAGGAGGAAGGAAGGGATGCTTAGTTTCCACAGCATGGCAAAGCATGCCATGGCATGGCATGGCATGGGATGGCATGGCATGGGATGGCATGGCATACCATAATTCACATTCAATCACGTGTACACAAAACTGCAAGCAGCGCATTTGCACGTATAGAATTTGCAAGTAAACTCTCGCAATAACAGCAATTCGCGACTGTGCAGCACAGCACGGCATCCCACCGCACCGCACCGCATTGCACAGCACAGCACAACACAACACAAGGTAATGCAACGCAACATAATTCAATGCAACGCTCACCGAGTTGTTCTCGGAGCCACAAGCAATGTAGCCCGATTCCGACACCGACAGCCCCACAAAGTTCTGCCGAGGAAAGCAAGGGAATAGGCACATCAACACACCAAAACAAACAGGACAACAGCACAATAGGAGAGAAAGATGATAGTGAGCAGGCAGGAAGGCAGGATGCTCAGGCGAGGGCAAGTTGATATGTGGACTGGAAACCAGGCAAGCGATTTCCTGTGTGCAAATCTAAACATGGAGGCAGCGGGAGAAAGGGAAGGGGCAGTGATGCTGGAAAACCCTGTAGAACAATCATCAATGTCTGCCACGACTCTGAAGCAGATTTTTGAAGTAGCATCACTCCCACGTTAACCATTCTCCTAATCAATTCCCTCCACCCCTTTCCTTCACACTACCACCAAACCCTTCCAAAGCGCTTCCCTTCCCCTCCCCAGTCCCTCGCTCACCTTCTCGTTCACATGCCCAGACAGCGTCAGCACACACGGCGCCATGCTTCCCTGCCCGGGATGCCTCTGCTGCTGCTGCTGCAGTCCCATCACTGAACCATCCCCAGCACTCCCCAGAACCTCCCTCAAATCCCACACGCGCAGGGTGTTATCAGTAGACGCGGACACAAGCGTGAGCGGGTCCGCAAAGGCGACGTAGGACACGGCGCGGGAGTGGCCGGGGAGCGTGGCGAGGGGCGAGCGCAGCTTGCGCAGGTCGTAGAGGGCGAGCTTGAAGTCGGCGGAGCCGAGCGCGAGGATGTGCGAGGAGGCGGGCGAGAAGTGCACCGCACACACGTTGGCCCGCGTGCGGATTGTGGCCACGCTGGAGTCCTGTTGTTCGTGGGGTGGGGAGGAATGGGGGAGAGAGAGTATGATGGAGAGGTTTTTGGGGGATGAGTGAGGAGGCGGGTGAGAAGTGCACGGCACAAAGAAGTGCACGGCACAAAGAAGTGCACGGCACAAAGGCATGCGAATGGTGGCCACGCTGGAGTCCTGTTGTTGACGGGAGGGGGGAATCGGGGTGGAAATGATGGGGTGAGAAGGGGGAGACAAGGGAAGGTGGAGGAGGAGGGGGTGGGGAAAGGGGGGGGGGGGGGGGGGTTGGTGGGAAGTGTGGGGGAAACGGAAAGCAAGGGACCGAGAGAGGCTTGCAACAAGCAGGAGGCACCTGGCGAGGCGGTTGACGAAGCTGCTAGAGAGAGAGAAGAAATCAAGCATGCAAAATGAAACTGGTGAGAGCATGCTACCGGTATGAAAAGGCTGCAAATGTCGGTAGCTCACTATACCTGCTGCAGACTCCAGATGCGCACGCAGCCGTCGTCGCTGCCGCTGGCTAACTTGGTGGGGTCGGTGGGCGCACAGTGCACACTCCACACTCGCCTCTCGTGCTCCCTGTACTCTGCGATCGCCTCGCCCGCACACACATCCCACACCTGGAGATGGAAGGGAGAAGATGGAGGAGAGGAAATAACTCTTTAGGTGACTGGAGGAGAATAATAAGCAAAGCTCACTCGCAACTCTCCATGAATGCGCACTCTCCATCTCTTAGCCACTCCACGCCACCCCATGCCATGTCATGCCATGCCACGTCATCCACATGTACCCTGCCCTGGTGCTCACCTGCACGGCGCCATCATAGTTGGAGGAGGCCACAAGGCTCTTAACAAAGGGGTTCCAGCTCACACAACTGAGCTTCGAGTCGCACGCCATCTCCGCCACCGGGTACTGCAACAGCTCCTCCTCATGCCCCTCCTCCTGCCCCTGCCCCCCCTGCTCCCCCTGTTCCCTCCCCCACACTCCTCCCCCTTTCCCCCCTCCTCCCACTCGCCCCTCTGCTCCCTCCCGATCCCCCTCCTCCTCGTCTACCTCCATCCCATCCCTCACTTCCTTCACCCACGCCTCTCGCTCAGCAGCAGCGCGCAGCACAGCATTGCAGTCAAACACCTTGATGCGCTTACACACGCCCGCCGAAGCAAAGAACTCCCCGTCCCGGTCGAACGCCACCGAGCACACCATGTCTGCCGAGCCTAGCAGGTCGCCGCGGCGCAGCGCCGCCCGAACCTGCAGCTTGCCGAACCTGGTGTAGCGGGAGAGGCCCTCGAAGAAATGCCCCAGCCAGGGCTGTGGTGGGCGGGAGGTGACTGGTGCAGGTGCCACTGGTACAGGTACTGCTGCTGCTGCTGCTGCTGCTGCTGCTGCTACTGCTGGTGCTGGCGCTGGTGCTGGTAGCTCTGCTGCTGCTGCTGGAGTTACTGCAGCTGCTATTGCCTCTGCTGGTGCTGCTGGTGCTGGTGCTGCTTCACTTGGCAACACTGCTGCCAGCAGTCTTGCAGAATGTGAAGGCTCAGAATCAGCCTCAGCTGGCGTGGAAGCAGGGACAGGATGGGAAGGCTCAGAGACCCCGTGTCTCAAACGCTCAGCTGCTCCCAGCACTTCACCCCGACCACCAAAGCGACCTCCTGCTCCCACCCGCCCCTCTGTATCCACAGAAAACAGAGTCCCATGCGTGCCCTGTGTGGTGGTCGGTACATTCAGGATGCTATCCACCACGAAACCACCACCACCACCACCACCATCACCACCGGCACCACCACCAGTGACAACAGCCCAGCTGCCTCCGCCACCGGACGAGCTCTGCTGCTGCCAGCTGTGCTGCTGCACCGCTGCTGCCGCCGCCGCACGTTCCCACACAGGGGGCGTTCTGCTCCTCTCGCTCTGCTTCGGAGAAGTCTCGAAAGGGGTTCTGCTCCTCTCACCCTGCTTCCCTCCATTCCACCGTCTCGCATCCCGACCTCCTTCCCCTCTCATCCCCTCCTGCCCCGCGCCTGTGCCGCCAGCACCCTCCTGCCTCGCTCTAGTGCCCAGTACCGGTTCCACCACCTCCCTGCTGCTGGCGCTGCTCGTGCTGCCATACATGTGCACCGCCCTCCGCTTGCTGCTCTCCCCCCTCTCCTCTCTGCCATCGTCACCTCCCATACTGCTGGCGTGCCACTTCCCTCCCAGGCAGGACGCAGGGGCAGCAGCCAATCTGGGAGCAGCAGCCTCTGCACCACACCCACCACCACTACCTCCTCCTCCTCCTCCACCATCACCACCAGCACCGGCCCTGGCACCGCTACCAGCACCAGCACCGCTACCAGCACCACCATCTGCACTGGCAGTGGCAGTGTCCTGGCCAGAGGACGCCCTTAGCCTCACGTCCGTACGAGCAGACCCACCAGCTGCCCCTGCACCTGCCGGCGCCGCTGTGGGTGTGGCTGCAGGCGAGGCAAGGGCAGCACCTCCTGCAATCCTCTCCGCAGCACCACCCGCACCCACAGCACCACCCGCACCCACAGCACCATCCCTTGCACTGCCACTCCCACTATCCCTGCCAGCTGCAGCACTGGTCCCAGCACCCCTCTCTACAGTCACATCTTGTCCCAGCGTCCTCACCGTTTGAAGCACACAGCCCAGCCGCCCCCACACCTCTTGCATGTGCCCCTCCTCTGCCACATCCCCATCCCTCCCTGCAGCTCCCCCTACTGCCCCCCCATCTGCGCCCACACCTGCCCCCCCAACTGCACCCACACCTGCCCCACTAGCCGCCCTTCCCCGTGCAGCCCAGTAGGAAAAGGCACCTTCCGACCCTCCTGAGAGAGTTTCCTCTGCAGAGGTCTGCGCCTGAAGCAGATACTGCTGCTGCTGCTGCTGCTGCTGCTGCTGCTCACTGCCCCCTGTGTGCCCATGCGTATGTGTATGTGCATATGAGAGAATATTTGACTGATCAAGGGCTGCTGGACAAGCAACAAACACCCCCGCGGGCCCCATGGCCCACTGCCGTCTCAGCCACGCCTTGGCAGCTTCTGGAAGGTTCTGCCAAGCTTCCTCTGCGGCTGTAGCGCCTGCTTCTGCTGGCGCACCACGAGCTACAGCCGGTGCTGTGCCAGAAGCTGCTGCTACAGCAACAGCAGCAGCAGCAGCAGCAGCAGCAGTCGAGGCTACGGCTGTAGCCCCAGAGGGCAACGAGGAGTTGCCAGGCGCACCAGCACCAGCCAAAACGGCACCAGCATTTGTAGCAGCAGCAATAGCAGCTGTAGCAGCGTCCATGACTGCATTTGTGGCGCTATCTGTAGCGTTATCTGTAGCAGCAGCGCCCGTGCGGGCACGGACGGCAAGGTACGCCTCTTCCAGCCTATCAAAGCACTGCAGCATGCGGTTCAAACGCCCCCCTACCCTCCTCTCATACACCACCCGCATCCGCCGCTCCTCTTCTCTCTCCCTCGCCCCCTCGCTCCCCCCCTCCCTCTCCCTCGAGCTAGCCCGCATGGGCACTGTAGCACCTGACTGCGTTTGGCTGCGTTGACTTGGTTGACTTCGTTGACTCCTCCTGCTAGCGTTCCCCTGCACCTGAGGGCTTTTTGGTAGGGTAGCTGGAACTGGAGCTCTCGTCCGCGTTGACTTTGTTGACTTGCCTGACCTGGCTGACTTGGCGCTACGGCAGGACGTTCCAGCCTGGCCGCTTCCCAACCTCTCTCCTTCGCATCCTCTCCCTCCCTCGCCTCCTCCATCTGCTGCCCTGCCTTGCCCAGCACCCAGACAAAGCCGAGTGCACTCCTCCCCCCTGCCTCTCATGCCCTGTAAAGCTGTTCCCCCCCCCGCCTGTGCTGCTCCTCCCTGTCTTACACCCCCACGCATCCCCACTGCACCCTCCTCTTCTATCCGCTGCCTTTGGCCCTGTCTCCACCCACTCCCACCACCGTTCCTGCTCTCCCCCCTCGCCCCTGCCCTGGCATCTGATGCATCCCTTTCTTGATCCGCCTCTCTTACTGCAGCATCCGTTTCGGCTCCACTCCCAGTGCCTGGGTTCGTGAATTGGCGCGCGCTGATAGGCCGAGACAGCGCCAGCAGCAGCCGCCTCCTCTCAGCAACCTCCGCCACGTCAGCAGAGAGCCCGTCAAAATTGGCGGCCACCTGCTGGGACGTCTCCGCCTTCCCCTGCTGCACCCTCAGGAGAAAATCCAGGAGCACCTCGTTCTCCTCCTCCCTCTCTGCCAACTCCGTCTCTGTGAGCATTTCAGGCGCTTCAGGACTCGGCTCCTCCTCCTGTGTCAGCGCTTGAGGCGACTCCACCAGAGGCTCCTTCTGCGGCATTGAAGCAGGATGACGCTGATGATGACCACGTAGAGGCTCCTCCTCCTCCTGTGACAGCCTCACATCTGTTGGCTCCTCCCCCTGTGACAGCCTCACATCTGTTGGCTCCTCCCCCTGTGACAGCCTCACATCTGTTGGCTCCTCCCCCTGTGACAGCCTCACATCTGTTGGCTCCTCCTCCTCCTGTGACAGACTCACATCTGTTGGCTCCTCCTCCTCACACCGAACCCTCTTGCTCCCTCGCATCCCCACTGCCTCCCCTCGTCCCTCCTCTTCGTCTTCCTCTTCCTCCTCTTCCTCCTCTCCCTCTCTGCCATGCATACCTTCCCCATCGTCTTCCCCACCACCACCAACCTCTTTCTCCCTCTCTTCCGTCTCCTGCGCCCTTTCTCGCTTTCTACTGAACTCAAGAGTACCAGTAAACGCATAGCCTCTAGCCCCCTCCCCAACCAAACCGCCACCAACAGCAGCGCCCTCCTCTCCTCCCTCCCTCCAACCCCACCCTTTCTCTCGCTCCTCCTCCACTTCCTCATCTTCCTCCTCCTCCCCCTCTTCTCTCATATCTTCCTCCTCCCCCTCCTCTGCTTTTCCACCACGCCCACCACCATCCAACTCCTCGACCGGTTCACCTTCATCCTTCATCCAGCACAGACCATCATCGTCCCCATCGCTCACTTCCACCATCGGTTCCTTGCCTGGCCTGCGCTGCCGCGGCCCCTCCTCTTCCTCCTCTCCCTCCTCTCCATCCTCACGCCCCTCCACATCACTGCTAACGCACACGCCGCCATCAACAGTACCATCATGAGGGTGTGCATGCCCATGCCCTTCCTGCCCTTCCTGCCCTTCCTGCCCTTCCTGCCCTTCCTGCCCTTCATGCCCTTCATGCCCTTCCTGCCCTTCCTGCCCTTCCTGCCCTTCCTGCCCTTCCTGCCCCTCCTGCCCCTCCTGCCCCTCCTGCTCCTCCTGCCTCTCCTGCTCCTCCTCCTGCTCCTCCTCCTGCCCCTCCTCCTGCCCCTCCTTCCCCTCCTGCCCCTCCTGATCCTCCTCCTGCTCCTCCTTCCCCCCCTGCTTCTCCTGCCCCTCCTGCTCCTCCTGCCCCTCCTGCTCCTCCTGCCCCGCCTGCTCCTCCTGCTCCTCCTGCCCCGCCTGCCCCTCCGCGTTCCCTTGTGCTTCCGATGATCGCCAAGGTGAAAACGACACGGACAGCTGGCACTGGCAGGAGGAAGCTGCAGGGGAAGCTTCTGCAGAGAGGCGGAGAAAGAGGCTGTTTGTGAGGACGTCCCTGAGGAGAGGAGGGTTGGCAGAAGAGAGATGGGCAGAGGGGGCTGTACGTGCTTAGAAACAGTGAAAGTGTATCAGGGTGACTTTTGAAATGACTCGAAGATATCCCAACTCAAGTATGTGCATGTGTGTTATCGTTGCATTTGCATAGATAAGACGTAAGGCGCCTCAAAATGAAATCACATACCTCATTGGCGGGCGTCTGGAGGGCACGGGGTGCAGCAGGCAGAGGCAGAAGGCAGCGCCGGTGGGGAAGGCCATGAGGTACCCCGTGGGCAGCACCCGGCTCCTCACATCCTCCATTGCACTGCTGCGCTCCGACTGGTCGCTCATGTGACACGTCAGCTGCGGCGGAGGTAGGAAACGTTGGGAGTGCAAAATCAGAACAGGTTCAGAGAGACATGGAATTCCACAATGGCATGGATAAGGAATGGACAGGTCATCAAGAAAGCGACAGACAGAGGACAAACAGCGGTAGAAACGAGTTCAGGGTGGTCTGGCTCACCTCAAAGAACAGCAACCCCAGCCGGTAAACATCTGCTGCCATCTCCTTCTCCCTCTCCCTCTCCCTCTCTGCATCCCCAGCACCTTCTGCCTTCCCACTCCCTGAGCCACCTTCTGGCGCTGCGTAATACCCCCTCTCCTCCTCCTCCTCCACCTCCACCATCACACCCTCTCCCTCCCTCTCACGCTTCACCTCCTTGCAGCAGCCAGCAGCAGCGTTGGGAGCACAGCAGGCGGGCAGCAGCCAGTGCTGGGGGCCCAGCGTGACTCGAACCCTAGACGGCACCAGCTGATCTCCTACGGCATCGCCGTTCGCATGGGCTGTCGCCACTAGCCGAGCAATCTCACAGAAAACGGACACTGCTTGCTGCTGGATTGGCACAGGTGGTGGTATTGCAGGGCACTTGCTGGCAGTGGTTGCGACAAGCTCACCCTCGCGCTGCTGCTGCGTGTGACACAGTGAGAGGAAGCGGCGGAGGGATAGCACGTGAGAGCAAGAGTGGCGAGGAGCAGAGCTGGGCGCTATAGACGCCCCTCTTCCTGCTGCTGCTTTTGCTGTTAAGACTGTCGCCGCATCTGCTGCTACCTCCTTTGCTTCGACAACTACTGCTTCGATTGCTGATTCCTCTGCTGGCTGTGGCCGGCAAGAGAGAGCCGATCCAGGAACAAACTCACGTGCGTGCCTGCCCTGGTGATCCTGCTCCCGCTCCTCCTGCTCCAAATCCCGTCCCTCCTCCCCCTTGACCTCCTGCTCCTCCTTCACTTGCTGCTCCTCCCGCTGCTTACGCCACCGTTGTTGGTGCTGCGTCAACCAATTCACCACACGTGAGCTTGCTACAGGCACAGGAGAATCCATCAACAACGCATCAGGCCCTGAAGAGTGGTGCTCTGACGAGTGGGGAGCTAGCGAGTGGGGCCCTGAAGCCCTCTCCTGCTTCTCCACCTCTACTCTCCCCTTCTCGAACCACTTTTCTGTCTCTGGAGCGCCCAACTCAAGACCCAGCGACAACCCAACCATGCCTCCCCCCACCTGCTCACTCCCACCCGATTCTTCTCCACCCAGACCGCCTTCACTCCGTTGACTCTGTTGACTCTGCTGTGCCCCACACGTTCCTCCCAACCCCAGATCCAAGCCCATGTCTGCTGCCTCCTCTGCCTCTGCATCAAGCCACATGTCTGCCTCTGCCTCTGCATTCATGTCTAGCAGCAACAGGTGCGCACCTGGCCTCGCCTTGCTGCCACTTGCCACACCAACACGCTTACTTGCCCCACCGTGCTTGTCACACACCCCGTCCGCAGTTGCAGCAACAGCAACAGCAGCAGCAGCAGCAGCAGCATGAGCGTCATAGTGAGCAGCGGAACCATAACCGTTATCATCCTGAGGTTCGGAAGCAGCCCAATGACCAGCACCAGCGTCAACAGCAACAACGGCAGAAGAACGGCCGATTTTACCCTCAGGCTTGGCAGCGGCACAGTGGTCATCAGCACCAGCGCCAACAGCGACAACAGCAGAAACACAGCCGACTTCACCCTGAGGCTCGGCTGCAACACAATGATCAGCACCAGTGCCATCACCCTCTCCATCCGCCCATGCTTCCCCCGGCTGCTCCTCATTCAAGTCAAACGCCAGCCGCCACTCCTCGCCCCCACCCTCTCCACTCGTCCCTTGCTCTGCTACCGCATCCCCACCGGCTGCAGCACCCACACCGCCACCACCACCATTAACATTTTCATCCCCACCACCATTAACATTTTCATCCCCACCACCATTAACATCTTCATCCCCACCATCGCCATCCTTTCCACTCCCACCTCCTGTAGGGGCGTCCTCGTGAGAATCATAATCCATGCCAAAATCGGACTCAAAACCCCACCTCTCCATCGATCCTTCTTCTGAATTCCCCTCCATCATCCTAGCAGCTTCAGTTCCCTCCATAGCCATGCCTTCGGCAGCAGTACCAGCAGCAGCAGGAAAAGAAGCAGCAGCCGTAGCATCTGCAGCAACAGAAGCACCTGCAGCATCCTCCCTAAGCACATGCCCTCGTTCCCCTCCCACCAACTCCTCATCCTCCTGCTCCCTCCCTCCTTCTCCCTGCTCCCTTTCCCCCTCTCCTTGATCCCCCCCCATCGCAGATGCAGCAGGGGTGCCTCCGCGAGCCTGTGAGGCACTGCCCACATGCGCCAAGTCCTCCTCACCTCCTGCTCCCGCACTGCCTTCTCCCCTCTCTCCCCTCTCTCCCCTCTCTCCGCTCTCGTCCATCTCTCCCCCATGTCTCGGGCACTCCACATCCTGCCCCTCCTGCCCCTCCTCACGCATTTCCTCCTCCTCGCCCTCCTTCCTCTCTGCTTGCTCTCCCACTTCACCTCTCGTCTCAGCTTCTCTCCTCTCCTGCTCACCCTCCCGTTCTCCCCCCTCCTCTCCCTCCTGCGCCCCATTCCTCTCTCCCTCCTCCGGACCTCTCTCCCCGCCTCCTTCCCCCTCTCCCTCCCGCTCTCCCTCCGTCGCTCCCTCCTCCGGACCTCTCTCCCCGCCTCCTTCCCCCTCTCCCTCCCGCTCTCCCTCCGTCGCTCCCTCCTCCGGACCTCTCTCCCCGCCTCCTTCCCCCTCTCCCTCCCGCTCTCCCTCCGTCGCTCCCTCCTGTCCCCCCTCCCTCTCCCGCTGGGCCTTCTCCTTCTCAGCGAGCTCCATGGCCAAAAGCTGCTGTAGCTGGTACTGTTCGAACTCAAACAACTGCTGCTGCCTCTGCCGCAGGAAGAAAAACTCCCACTTGCGCCTCCGCTCCTCCCTTGCCTCCTCGTCCTCCCCCTCCTCCCCCTCCCCCCCCTTCCTCCCCTTCCTCCCCTTCCTCCGCCACTTCCTCTCCCTCTTCCCCATCCCTCCTCCCGTTCTCACCTGCCGCATTCTGCTCCCCTTCAGTTTCTTCCTGTGTCGCCTGTCCCCTCTGCTCCTGCGAGCCGTCTATCTGCTCCTCTCTCTGCTCCTCTCCCTGTATTCCATTCCCTGCCTCCTCCCTCTGCTCTCCGTGCTCTATCTCTTCTCCACCTTCCCCCATCCCCCCTTCACCCCCCATCCCATGTTCCTCTCCCTCACCATGCAGCAGCACCATTTGCTGCAACCCCGCATCTTGCATCTGCTGCAAAGCCCTCATTTCCTGCAGCCCTCTCCCTTGCATCACGTTTCCCACTTGCTGCAGTGCCATCTCTCCCACTTGCTCCCCTTCCCCTTCCTCCTCTGCCCCCCCTTCGCTGGCCTCTCCTTCCCCGAGCTGCCAGCGCTGCTGCTGCTGTAGCTGCAGCTGTAGCCGCTGCATCCGCAGCAGCCTCTCTTGCTGCAGCTGCAACAGCCGCTGCCTCAGATACTGAATCTGCATCTCCTCAGGTGAATCGTCCGCTACATCTGCTGCTACATCCCCTGCTAAATCGGCTGCCCCTGCTTCATCACCCTCCTGCTCCACTTCTCCTCCCCTTCCCATTTCCTCCTCGCCCCCTTCCATCTCTTCCATGCCCACTGCAGCAAGTTTCAGACCTTGGCGTTCCTGCCCCATGCCCCACTGCTGCTCCGCCGGACCGTCTTCCCCCCATCCCACGGAAGTCACTCCCTCTACCTGCTGCTGTCTTCTCAACCACTCTCGCTCCTCCTGCCCCGCACTCGGCAATTCCTCTTGCCCCTCCCCTTGCGCCTCCTCGTGCCCCTCCTCCTCTTGCCCCGGGCCCCAGCTTTGCTGCAATTCTTGCTGTGGCGCCTGCTCCTCATCCTCCTCCTCCTGCTCCTGCTCCTGCTCCTGCACCTGTTGCAGCTCCTGTTGCATTTCAATTGCCTCCCCTTGCACTCCCTCCCCTGGCCCTCCCTCCAGTAGCCCTTGCTGCTCTTCCCACAGCCGCCACTGCTCCCACTCCCTCTGCGCCTCATCTTCGTTTCCTCCTCCCTCCCTCGCTGGTCCGCCCACCCCCTCTCCCCCTTCGCCCTCATCCGCATCCACAGCCCCTGCTGGGGCTTCCCGCTGTTGCTCCTCGTCCCTTCCGCCTCCATCCTCCCATCCCAACCCTTGTTGATCTGAACTCTGCTGCATCTCTGCTTCCTCTGCTGCTGCACCCAGCATCATCTGCTGCTGGGCCTGCATGCGTTCTTGCTGCCCTTGAATACCTCCATGCTGCCCCTGCATCTCCTGCTCCTGCCTTTCAGTATCCTGCACCTCCTGCCGCTGCAATTCCTGCTGCTGTCGCTGCATCATCAAACGCTGCTGCATCTGCTGCTGCTGCATGAACATTTGCAGCGCCACCATACGAGGGTCAACCACACCACCAGACCCATTCGCCTCTAACCCACTCATCCCTAAACCCCTCATCCATGCAGCAACAGCTTCACGTGGCACTCCCGGATTCAAGCTCAGCATCCCCGCCCGCTCCCGCTCATCCCCCTCTGTTTCCTCTGGCGCCTCTTCTCTCACCACATCCCTTTCACCGGCTTCCTCTGCTTCACTCTCATCATGGACACCATGTGAAACCCGTTCCTCAAACTGCGTGATAAAAGTTGTATTTTGAGACGTCTCAAAATCCTCCTCGCGCACACCCCCGTCCTCTCTCACCTCACGCTCCTCCCCACCTCCTCCTACTCCTCCATTCTCCATCTCCTCACCATGCACCCCCGCAATCCCCTCCTCTCCCATTCTCCTCATTCCCCTCTCCTCCCTTGCCTCCTCCTCGTTTTCCTCAATCTCCTGCTCCTCCTCTCCCTCCTTCCCCACCTCCGTCTCGTCCACCTCGCCATCACCATGCATCTCCTCTCGCCCCTCACCTCCCCCTTGTGATCTCTGTCGTCTGCAGCTCATCAGTGCAATGCGCCCACCACCAGCACCAGCACCTGCAGCACCAGCGGTCAGAGCAGTCCCAGCACTACCGCTCTCCATCCACAAGCCTGACGAGTGGTTTGTCCAGCCGCCCGAGCCAGAACCAGCTCCTGCCTCCTCTTCCTCCTTCCCATCCACCTCCATGCAGGCACCGCTCCCAACCGCATCGTTTCCTACTGCACCACTCCCAATCGGACCTTCGTTTCCCTCACCCCCGTCCTCACCACCCATAGCACCCGTGCCGTCGCCCCATTGTTCCTCCCCCAGCCCATCCACCTGCCTTCCATCTGCACTGGCAGCAGCACCACCAGCAGCATTTCCAGCAGCAGTAGCAGCAGCCATAACCGACAAAGGTTTCAGCTCCCCTCCTTTCCTCTGAATCACAACCCAGGAGGGCGGACCAGCACTGACCACAGGCGCCTCATCCCCATCACTCGGCACCCGCATGCGCTGACCACCCTGCTGCTGCTGACCTAGCCCTTGGCTCTCCCCACTCTCCTGCCCCTGCTGCGTGTAGCGTCGCTGTTGTTGCTGCTGCTCCCAACCCTGACGACTGTGGCTCTGAGACTGAGAGCGCGTCGAAGAGCCGGGAAACTGCAACTCCCGCTGATAAATTTCTCCCCCCTCCTCCTCCCGCTGCTGCTGCTGCTGCTCGTCCCCTGCCTGCTGACCCTCACCCACCCCGCTCCGCCTCTGCTCCGCCTCCCTCTGCTGCCGCATCAGCTGCTCAGACAGAGACACCTCCTTCCGCCTCCCTCTCATCGTCCTCAGCACCTGAACCCTCCCCCCCACCAACACCCCTCGCCCCGCCACAAACCCCGCCCCCCTGCCCGCCCCTCTACCGCGTCCTACTGCTCCCCCTCGCCCTCTTCCACCTGCACCCGCACCACCTGAAAAATCTCCTGAGCCCCACCCTTGAAGGTCGCTCTCACTGCCGCCACTGGCAGGGCGGGTCTGCTCGGGATCCGACAGAGCACGGGGCATGGTGGGAGGGGTGGTGGTAGCAGCAGCAGCAGCAGCAGCAACTTCACCTTCAGCCCCACACCAAGGCTGTGCTTCTAAGGAAACAAATGCCGCACAGTCAGGAGGAGGAGCGAGGGGAGCAGCGGGTGGGATGGACGGGTGAGCGGCGTCAGCGGGAGGCAGCAAGTTGCTGTTTTTGCTCCGGGAAACGGAGTGGGACGTCCTCCAAACGAAGTCTCTTCCAGCCGTGTTCGCCCCATGACTGCTCCCGTCTCCCTCCATCCACTCCTGCTTCTCGTCTGCCTGTCCCACCATACGCCCTTCCTGCACTCCCTTTGCCTGCCTTTGCATCGCCTCCCTTCGCACCTCCTCCCTTTGCAACTCCCGCCGTCGCATCTCTTCCATCTCATTCCGTCGCTCAGACCAGAACGCCGTCTCAGCCTCCCCTACAAGCTCCCCGTCAACCCGCTGCTCACCCCTCTCGACCATCTCACACCCCCTACTGCTACCACCAACCAGCCCCGAGCCACCTCCCAATCCCGAGCTGCCTGCCATTCCAGAACCACCGCCTTCCAAGCCGCCGCCACCACCATTCCCGAACCTGCTCGCACGTCCCAAGCCACTTCCCAAGCCTGTGCCGCCTCCCTTCCCAGAGCCGCCTGCCTGTCCTGTGCTGCCACTTGTGCTCCCCGCCCGCCTCCCATCACCCTCTGGGATTCCCAGCCGCTGCCTCTTCAAGGCTGCTGCCTTGGGACCCGACAGAAAGCCCCACCCGCTCTTCCCCTTCCCTGTGCCGCCTCTTTTGAGACCATTGCCCCCACTGCCGGCCCCACTGCCGCCCCTACTGCCGCCGCCATTCCCACCGCTGCCACCGCCACTGCTGCCACTTCGCTTCCCTGAGAGATTCGACTGCCCCGGACTCCCACCCTGCCCCGCGCTTCTCCCCGGCTTCCTACCCTGAGAATCCCTTTCCTCCGACACATTCCCGCCCCTACCAGCCTCCTCTCTGCGCTCCACCACACCCCCACGTGCTGCCCCACTCTCAGGCGACTTGTCCCCGCCGTCGCCACTGTCGCCCTGCTCCTGCAGGTCAGGCATCTGCTCCAGGCGGGCCACCCACTCGTGAATGTCCCCCCCACTGCCTGACGACGCGGTACCAGCGCCAACAGCACCGCCTCCGCCCCCAACTCCGCCCCCGCCTCCGCCTCCCTCTCCCCCGCCTGCGCCTGCGCCTGCACCTGCGCCTCCACCTCCGCCTTCCCCCCCTGCTTCGCCTCCGCCTCCGCACGCCCCTGTGTGGTCCATGTGGGCTATGAACGCCTGCACGTTCTGTCCCCCCGACCGCAGGTACTGTGCCAGCAGCTGCTGCCGCTGCTGCTCCCGCTCCATCTCGCCCTTCCCCTGCTGCCCGGCCACCATCAGCTCCCCTCCTCCTCGCTTCTCCCTCACTGCGTGCTCCTTCACATGCTGCGGCGGCGGCGGAGGCGGCAGCAACTGCTGCTGGTGCTGCTCTCGTTCACACCCTTCATCAGCCCCCTTCTGCGTCCACTTCGCGTCTCTCCCAGACAACCGCTGCCCGTCCTGCTCCTGGCCCGTTTCCCCATCTGCATTTCTGCCGCCCCGCTGCTGCCACTGCTGCTGCCGCTGCTGCCACGCCTGCCGTCGGCACCCCACGGGCTCATGCTGCTGCGGCAGCGGTGGCGTTGCTGGCTGCGACTCCTGCAGCATCTGCGGTTCCTGTAACATCGGAGGCTGCTGTTGCTGCTGGATCTGGCGCTGCTGCTGCTGCTGGCGCTGTTGCTGGCTCTGGCTGCTTCCCCCTCCTTGCCACCTCTCCAAACCCACACCAGAACTCAGCTGCCGCAAATGAGCTTCCTCC